ACTACGCCGCTTACCATCAGCGATTTGGTCATCAAAACAACAAGCTGGACTGCTCATGCGGCAGCGCTAAGGAACCATATCACTTCTTTAAATGCACTATAAACAACCTAAAACGTTCAGACTGGCCCCTGGCCCCTGTAGAAATACAATCTAACAAACAGGCGATCACATATATCAAGAAACTCTTACACACACCTAGCAAGCTCACTCAGCTGATTACCGACTCAGAGTTCTACACTCAGATCTGTCCTAACTACTAAAGGACCCTTAGAAAGCGACCATCTTTTCAACAAAGCCCGCCGCCCCTTTTATAAACTTACCACTCAACTGATCACTCGAATATACCACACCCCTAAAAACCGCAAACTCAATATACAATATAAGAGCCTTGCCGCTCGGCTAAACAAATAGCAACCCACTCCCACTTCTTCTCCTTCACCATAGGGATCGGAGCCCACAACGAGCCTATCCACCCGGGAACCAAGCTCTACCCTAACAAGAACCCGGATCAGACGTACCCTTCTGGAAACAGAAGTGGATCGCACCTGCAGAGGAGCGAACAGCCCCTGGCATTGAAGTTAAATTGCTAAATTCGGTTGCGACGATCACGCCGCTCAAATAGTCCCTTATCTTAGCACGTCTAAATACCCTTAGGGAGGTTCAAGACAGACGTTAATTAATATAAATAAATAAATAAAAAATTAGTTGTATAACTTTTATATTTGTTTAATATAAGGAGTTTCAACTTATCTAATAAGAGGGAGATTATTTGAAGTATAAAGACCTTTTTAAGCTATTTTAGGATAATGTTATTCGTAATCCACTTATTATTTATAGCAATAAAATACTACTTTTTATAAAGTTTCAAATCAACCGGAAATCATTATTATTATACTAATTTCTCTTTCAATATAATAAAAAGATTAAGAGCTTTTTTTATAATTGAAATATACTTTATAAGTGATATTTAAGTTCTAAAACTAAACTCCTTTTTTTAAATAAAATAATATTCTAAACTTTCTAGAACTAGTTTATTTAGTCCCTAGCCTTTTTGTATATCTATTTTATTTATATTATAGTAATATTAAGGTTTAATATAACAAATTGAGAATAAATCTAATTTTAAAATCATTAATTAATAATATTAATAATTATATCTTTGATATGTACTGAATTGATTTTAACTTATCTTTTAATTCTAGTTTCTAAATTCTTTCAAAAAAAGTTCTATACTTATTATTTTCCAAATGTAGAATTACTTTTTTTAATATTGAGAAGGTACTTCTCAATTTCATGAATTTATTGATATATAGAATTAATATTTAAAGACTTTTGAATTAATATTTAATCTATTAATTGTTTTTCCTATATTGGAGCTATCTTTTACATATATTATATACTTTTATTATAAAATGAATGATTATTTATATAATTTTGAAAAATAACTTTTAGAATTCTATAATCCAAAGTAATTTATTGAATTGAATATTTATTCACTATTATATATAAAGTCGAATTAATATCAACTTTAATATATATTTTAAATATAATATAAGTAATAATATATTAAAATTTTAAATTAATTAATTCAAAAGTTGTAAAGTTATTAAAGATTTAAGATGGGAGGTTGCTTTCTACAGTGAGCTTTTTTGAGGTGGCCTAAAAGAGGGGTGGCTTGAAAGTAGGGTACCCGATTTATAGTACTATTCAATGAAAAGGTCATATATTATTTCTTGAATGAAAAGAAAAGTTTCGAATTAATTAAATCCCTTCGAATTTGTAATATAATATTCAGTTTGTTATTATAAAACGATAACCTCAATGTTAGTATATTAATTATTGAATTAAGAAATTAAACTCTTAGTAATATTAGTTAGAATAGTGAGTATTGTCTAATAAGAAAAAGAGTTTATTACTATTAATATTAAAAATCAATAATACAACACTTAATATTAGGAGGATTTATTTAAAATATATAATTAAGATTATATTTAGATAATGACTAAAGGAAACCTAAATAGTATATAGTTTTCTTTTAATTAATATTAACGAATTTCTTTTGTTCTTTATAATCTAATCTTAATTTTCATTAAATGATTATCAATATATTAATATTGATATTATACAATATTTTTATAATATACAAAAGCAACTTATAATTATTATAAATAATGAGAACACTTTAAAATATAAAGTATTATTATAGGCGCATCTTTATGATTGTTATAAAAGCTATTTCATTCTTCTCTCTCGAGACTACGCTATCATATATACTTCTTAGGTAAGCGACGCTACGGGGTAGCGTGCTATAGTTATAATTATAGGATTTTATTCATAGGAGAATATATAGAAAAGGATATTGATCAAATTGAAAGAAATTTAATAGGATTTTACAAGATTTTTTTTAATGTTTTTTGTTTCCTTTTTTCAATAAAATAATTAGAGGTTTATTTACAAAACGAGAGTAATTATAAAGAAGCATGTACTCTTTAGTTATATAATTTAGTTATATTAGTCATTCTAGCTAGCTTTTCCGTATAAGTTGAAAGCTTCGCTTCTAACTTCTCTTTAGTTCCTTATCAATAACTATATTTATTAATGTCAACCTTTCTCTAGTTTTATACTCTTTATATATCTAATATTCTTTAATTTTCGAATACTAATACCTTCTATTCGATTTAAAAAATAACTAATAACTTTATAAAGGATTTAAAACTAAAAAGAAAATATTACAGTAAATTATAATTATTAATAAAAAACTAAAACATAGTTGAAAGTAAAGCTTTCAATTTATACGACGAATTAGCTAGAAAGGCTGTTGTAGCCGGTCACGTGCTCTAGGAGGCTCGTGCGCCCTCACAAGTGAAACTATAGGAATCGAATAGTTTCAATTAATGTTATAAACTGAGGCGAATTATACTCTCATGTCCTTCAAAAGCCATCTAATTACTCTTATTCCCCTTAGATTCTATGATAATATCTCGTCTAAAGTGACTAGATTCTATCTATTTAGGATAGATTCTGTAGAATCTATATAGAATCTAAGAGATATAAGAGTAAAATAAGTATAATTTATGAAGTACGAGAGTAATCAAATAGCATTTGAGGGGTATGAGAGTAATTTGTCGTATAAATCATGAAAGGAAAAAAGAGAAAAGAGCTGATTCAATTTTATCCTTTCAAAATAAAAGAACATTCATGATTAAATTGTTTATAGAAATCAGATGATATAAACTCATGATTTCTAAATGATTACTATAGATATTTTAGATTATACTCTTCATAATGAGAGTTATCGTCTAGAATAATAGGGTAAATATTGATACTATATCGTGTTATAAACTGAAAATAACTACAGTTTCGACTATAATCAATAGACGAGAATAGATTAATAGTAGAACTAAAGTAACTTCAATAAATTATATGATCTTAGTAACATTTTGCCTCTAAAAGAAATTAAGTTGTAGATGCTTAAAAAATAATATAAGAATCAAACATTATGAGCTGAAAATTCTAGAAGATTAAACTATATTTAGAGTTCTATTATTTTAAGTATAAACTATCATCTAGTAACTTAATTTGAATATCAATAAAAATCGAGATGAACATAGATTTTGACTTCTCATTAGATGACAGTAATCCAATTGTACAATTCAAGTACGTATAATAAGTATATAAGTATAGTATGATGTTATCTTAAAACGAAATCAAAACATGAAAATCCAAGACGACGATAAGGATAATTTACTGAATGTTGTTTTTAATAAATATTAATTAAATCACTTAATATTATTATAATATTAAGGGAACTAATTATAATAATAAAATTCTATTATTATAATAAAATAAGAAAAATTTAATATTATAAGAAAAATTTCTTATATTCTTTATTTTCTTTATATAAGGAAGAATACTATTATAAAATAAAATAAAGAATTCTTTATTCAAAAAGAAATCCTTTATTAGCTCTTTATTCAAAATAATAATTCATTATTTTGAAAAATTTGAAATATCACGTGGAATCTAGTCCAAATGCGGAATGACAGACGCAATATTAATTTTTCTTTATTATAAAATTGATTTCAAATCAAAATATTGATTTCAAATCAGAATTTTCATGTACGCCACCTACGTATTATAGGCTGTATAGAGGGCAGGAAAAAAGCATAAATAAGTGGCTTAGGTCCCTGTATTCAGATCTTTTACCAGAACCCACTTTTATATGTATTCAAGATTATATAATACAATAACAATTCAAGCTTCAATAATAATATTAATTCTATTTATAAATTCTATAAGCCTAAGCTTCCCATATAGTACTATTATAGTACTATTCCCAATCCAGCCTAGTCAATCCCCTGCTAAGCGCATAACCTGCAATACTGAAGGCTAATGATATTAGAGAAGTAGGGAATATTTCAGGCTCTATTCTAGTTGAAATAGATACTCATTTTGACTCCTAAAATGAGTACCAATTGTTATCCCTGGATTTGAATGTGGTATGTCTATTCTACAAAAGATGGGAACAATCTCATTATACAATTAGAAGATAAATAATGAGGTTCATCCTCTTATTAGCAATTCCGAAGAACTCTTCTTAGAGAGAAAAACTCCGGAAAAGCCCTGGAAAATATCATTCACCTTAACCTACTTAACGAATTTTTTTTTAGTTTCGGAGAGTGTCTAATGAAGAACGGGATTGATATCATGAGTGCTCTACATCTATAATCTCTTGAAGATCTATCATTATAGTCAATTGATTATGTCAGAGCGTCAACGGGTAGTTCTAATCTATAGCAGTTGTTGTTTCTACCTCAAAATGTAGATATTTAGGATTCTATTGGTACAATGAGAAGCTACGATAAACACTGATGATCATTTGAGAGTTCTCTTAAACATTGCTTGTTGATATCTAGTACTAATGCTCAATTTTTCCACGCTAATCCTCCAAAAACCGCAAATGACCCCCGAGAATGCTCAAATTACTAATAAAATAACTATCAACCCTCAGAAATAGGCTTTAAAGCACCAATATCAGCTACATCTGCTTCCTTATCTCCATCCTCATCATCTGAGGTACGCTCCGAGTCACTGATATCGGTGTCACAATCTACATAGATTGGGATCTTTCCACGGTGTCTCCTAATTACCTGCTTGATTTTCTCATGAATCTCAGGCCAATGGTAGATAATTCTCTGAATTTCAGAGCTTGAGCGCTCTGGAAAGTTCCCTTCGGTTTTTGTATAGCCTCCACCTCTAATGACCGGAACATCATCAATAGTGAGACTACGCGAGGTTAATTGTGCTATAGGCAATCCAGGAAGCCTCTTATGGCCAGAAAACTCCTCATTCTGAGCGTCTGCGATAAGCTGCCAATCTTCTTCATCTAGATTGGCCTTCTTTGCATTTACTGCATCCAGAACATGTGCCTCCAGGAATGCTCTTTCCCACTCTGTCCACTTATCATTCTTTGGCTTAGGAGGGGGAGGAGCAGAATAGATTCTTTTCTTCGGGGCAGGAGGGAAGCTTCCAGGAAGGCTGCGACGTAAGATAGCGTTTGCCCATTCGTTGAGCTTTACGACAGTAACCCTTCCACCTTGACCTTTCTTCCAGTTTCGTCTAGTTCCCGCATATTTATACTCCCACACTTGATCGTTGTCCGCCACTAGCTTAACGGTGGCTGGAACTATCTTTGTGAAGGGGTCAAGCATCGCTGCAGCATTCTTGACAAGGCTGAACGTAGCTTCACGCTTTGAACGTGGTGTAGCGATTTGTTCGTTGAGAGCAACCGGGATCTAAGGATTAAGGAGTTAGATATTGAGAGGTAAAGGGATTGATCAGCAGATACTCACAGCAAATGACGGGACGGGGCTTCTTTCTGGGGGACTGGTAGCAATTGAGCGCGGTAGTGGGGGTTGCATAGTCATAGAGTCTGTGTTCTTGGTCGTCGAGCCTATTGTGCGTCCTCTGTTTCTTCCGGGTTGCTTCTACAGGTTAGCATATGGTTAAATGAAGAGTAAACTTAATACATACAGGAAGTAAAACACCCCAATAGCCTTGAGTAGCACTACTTGATCCAACAGCTACACTTCCCAATGCTTGCAAATCTACTGATGATTCCATACCTCCCATATATGAATCTTGTTGAGAGGACCATTGATTTGCGAGGCCGGATTGCTGGAACGGGGAGCGATGAGCAGCGTTAGATTGCATTTTACGACGCTTTCTTGGGTTCGGGGACATCGGAGTTGGGTAGAATGAAGCGTTTTGCGGATTCAGTGCCTCGGTGAGTGGGTTGTAGCTGACAGGACCTGTATAGTGGAAATTTCCTGAAAGAGGTTGAACGCAGTCTGCCATAGCCTGATCAGCTACTTGACGAGAAGATCCATCTTGTCTTGATTGTAATTGTGCTCTTTCTGGGTGATTAGAGCCCGATGTGCTATCATTGCGAGTTCGAGACAATGATTGCGTGTTCTCAGTGTTGGCTGTTCGCAAGTGAGAGTCTGGCATCTGGACTCGATTAGGTATCATGGTAGGTACAGGATTTTCAGAGAGTCTTTGATGTCCTCGAGGATTTAAAGGGCCCAGGTAAGGACTGAGAGCTGACGCATACCCGGGACTGGAGCCTCTTCTTGGTCTCAGAAGGTGTGGTGGAACTTGGGAGGAGCTAGGGACTCTTTGATGATGCTGAATTCCAATTAACCCACCTCGTTGGGGTCTTCGTTCTCTAGCACGAGGCATTGGAGGCGGCATATCCTGTATAGAGTCTTCGTCGCTACCTTCGATGGATGGTAGTGGATCCTCTGGGTTTAGACCGGATCTTGGGGTCATCAGGTCGTCATTTCTTTGATTTTTGCCTTTCATTACGCCAGTAGGTATCGTATTTGTAGTCGCAAGAGATATTGAACAGGAGTAGATGAACTTAATGGGCAGACTTCTTTCGAAAATGATGCAATATGGTAGAACAAAGGTGTCTGATAGGAAACCCGTTGTTAAATACAATTAATATAGAGGTGGAGAGAGTTGATAAAGACCAATTTCGGCGAACGATCGATTATTCGACGCAAAAGTAACGCTAGAAGTATTAATCACATATTTTCAAGACTACGGCAGAGATTTCTACCGCATTTTCACATTTGTGGCGTGATTCATTCAGTTTGTCGGTTATACAAGGCTACTTGGTAAGGCTAATCAGTTATTCAATACGGTAGAAGGCCTTGCCACTTTGAAAAGCGGTCGGAGAGGAGGTATTTGGCCTTCCTTTGTATCCGTAAATGTATAATATCATCTAAAATCCATCTGTTTTGCCTGCTTTAAACGTCTTGCTTTGAATTTGTCCTTTAACCCACCTGATGTATTGCATCTAACCCTACCGCAAAGCTTCTCGCCAGGAATACAAGTCATTGTCACTGATTTAAAGCTTCCTTGAGGTTACAGAGCTCTGTCGAACAGGTCATACTCCCTACGGTTCTACGTTTAGCTCAGGGCCATACCAGTTAGAAGCTAAACTTCCTCTTCTACTCTCAAGTGACTGATTACATTGATCCCCTTGATGCTTCTTGTCTCTTCTGCTTCCTCTTATGCTATCATAAGTCTTCCCTTGCTCATCCTGCTCTCCTGATAACAAAGTTCCTCTTCCGCCCTCCATGCTGATCCTTTGTTCTCTATCTTGAATATGTTCTCACCTCCCCCACACTTCTCTCTCATTCTCTTCCTCGTCTGCTAGTCTTTCCTAGTCTTTTGAGCCCGAATCTCATTTTTGTAGCCAGAAGCCTACTCACTAGATCGCATAGCCCTAAATCCATCAGTCTATTCTTCGTATCTCTAATGTAACAAGTAAATGCACTTCAAACACTAGATCCACACAAGCTTCGAGCTACACTAGCCAGCAATTTTTTTCGCACATCAAGCATCAGAGACATCTCTTAGCTCTGGTGCATCATTCTCCTACTAGAACTCTTCACAGCTACTATGCCCCTCTCGCTTTTCTAGTGCCTAGATATACTCCTTCCATACTCTATGTCTCTTCTTTCCTTCGCGCCCATAGATATCGAACTGCCTATTATAGTTGTGCGTGCCGCTAAGATCCTACTGTGCTCTGTTAGCTTTCACTTCTGCCGCATGTGCAGCCAGTAGCTTGATGCGTAAAATGTTTGAAACTCTGTGACTGACTTACTTCTTAGCTTTGATATCTCAAATTTATGCGCTGGCTTCATCCTGCCACCTGCCTCCATTTGCCCTTTTCTCACAGCCAGTAACTGCGTCTTCTTTGGAAAGACTATGCTTTCTTAATAATGGGATCGATTATCAACTTCTTCGTGCGTAAATCTGCTAGTGATAGATTCCGGATAGAACACTTTAGCTTGTCTGTAAGTTTAGAAATTAGCTGTGAATGCTGTAGCAATGACTTGTTCGTGGAGTCTTCAATCAAAAACGGCATATTTAGCCTTCTGTCTTGAAAAATAGCTCGCGCACTAATCAATCTCTATCTTGATTCTCCAGCTAATCGTGGATCTTTCATTGAAGATTTTGCATCGTCTAGTGCTGTTTTCCCTGAACTGAGATGTCTCATTTCGCTCTTTATCTAGCGAAGAAGATTTCCTCTCTCTCGCTTTGATTAGCTTCTTCCTACTCCCAAAACCAACCAAGATTCTCTACGAAAACTACAATCTGGGCCCTTTCTCTCCTCCTGCTATCCAAATTTTAATCGCGTTCTCGGAGATCCATTATCTAACTCCTCTTTACTTCGAAAATCTATCACTTACTTAGCACTATCGTCTTCAGCTTGCTAATCTACTTGAATCTTCGTACTAATACTCGTGGTCCCTCTCTTCCTGAAGCCGTGAGTACTCTGGTCTGCATTCTTCGCTTTATCTCTCCTATACTCTCTAGTCTTACCTTCGTCTGCTTTAGCCCAGTATATGCTTTCCTAACTTTTCCTATCCAGACTACCCTTTCCATTTACTCAAACTATCTCGACTCGAATTCCTTCTCTTCCCCTACTCTCGCGCAAGACACTCGCCAAACTCCCGAATATTCACAGAAGAAGCTCTGCCAGACGTTAGTTTTGGTCTCTTGGAAATCTATATCCTCGGAAAAAGCGACCGTAACACATGAGCAGCGCGTTGTTGTCTTTGGCTCAAATACAAGTTCTCTCATAAGTTTGATTAGTCTTGTGGGAACAGAATTCAACGTTGATCCGGAGGTTAGCTGAAAAGCGGCTACAATCTACTGTCATACTGTTGTTGGTCTGGGGCAGAAGCACTCGAACATTTCTAAACATCCAGATGTTGAGATTTCCGGTGATCTTCGAGCTAAAACTGATAGGAACTTCCGGATAAATCTATGAACGTGCAGAGAAATTGTACTTAGATCTATTCTAGCATTATATGGCATCTTGATATATCTATCTACTATCTAATATTGGATCTGCACTACTAACGAACCACAAAACTAATATGAGAGTTGCCGTGACACTCAGTATACACATCCTCTCGAAAATTTCCTCGAACGATTTATAATCAGATTAGAACACTCAGAATATTCTATAACACCAGAAAGCAATGAAACATCAAACGCCAATGAAGCTCTACATCTATTTCAACTTGCAATTGAAGTGGGCTCGGAAAGAAAACCCTAGCGAGGAGGTGGTAGGAATGTGCTAGAATGGGTTGTATTCCTGTATTCTATCTCCAGCTTTACAATGCATAGAAGCGAATCATATAGCGCAACACAATTAAACCTTAACCTAGCAAAGGTTCTCAAGGGGGGAAGGAATGTCAGTCAGCACGAAGTCCCCGGATCTTTTGCAGCTTACTTACTCTGCGAAAGAACATTTTGAATCACAACCATCACCCGTGTTTGAGGAAGGAATACACTAATTTCAGCTGGCCATAACTTTCCCAAATTTGCATCCCTGGAGTCTTAGAGCAGTTCGCAGTGTTGGTGAAATCATTCTCGGATTGACCCAACTCAGTAAATCTTGTAATGGAAGTTCAAATTTTCAGGTCCTACAGGGAGGATGCAGGGTCAATATGCCCCTCATCAAGCCTGAAAGACGCTATAATATAGCGAGACACACTGAAGTAATAAGCGACTCTGAATTTGGCATGAACTTGGGGAATCACTAATGGGCGCTGTAAGTTTTCGATTTAGCGTGATAGTACATAAAACTTATGGGTTTAATCTACAATAAGAAACAGAGCAGATTGCAGATCTAAAAATATATTTGCACCTAGACTCAAGACTGGTTCTAATTTGGTTTGATGCCCCTGCTTTGATCAGAACTACACTTAACAAGATCTAATCGACCTATTCTTCCCCGGGTCTATTTTTCTATTTACTGCCTATGGATTGGTATGTGTCTTATTAAAAACGCAAGTTTGAGCTATCTTCCTATGATGATATGGTACCAGTAAGATACCTTCGAACGAAATACACATCATTCCCGATAATCTTGAATACAGTGGAGACGTTCTCTGCAGTCTCCAATCTGTAAATCATGATTCAGTCTCATCCACTTCCAGCTCCCCTGCCCCCCTTTGTATTTCTGAGCCTGATATATTTGTAGCTTTCAAACTCCGCAATTCGCACTTTGGGGGCAGAGGGTAATGTTCAAGTTCATCGCAACTTCCTTGTCCTGCAGTCTCGCTTGTATTGGCTCAATTTGCTTCCCCTTTTTTGTTCCTTGGTGGATCCTGTTGTTGGTTCGTTCTTCCTGAGACAACTGTCTATTGTAGAGCATTGTGTTCAAGTTATGTATGCTTTCTTCGATATTCCTCTTACTATATCTAGTCTTGGGCCTTCTGCCTCATCTTTATTTTCCCACTAATGTATCAATGCTAGATATACAACTATTTCTTGAATACTGTTCCCAAGGGAAGCATATATATGCATCAAGTTCCATCGCTCCTGCTGTTTCCCCATCTAATCTCCTCGCCCCTCGCCTGTTGCTCGCCCCACTAAGACATATATTTGGAAATTCCAGTCATGATTCTTCAAGTGTTTATTCCTTGCTGTATATTTTTTGTTGTCGAATAAGAGGACTATAAGGGTAAGAGGTGTGGAGGTTCTTGGATAGAGATTTTGTTGTGTAAAACGTAGAGATCTTTGGGATAAAGAAGTCAGTGTTTTGAGGAGTTGGACTAGTCAGAGGATTAAAGTCCGCAGGGGTTTGACTTTGTAGTTTAACATAGATCCTATTCAAGAAAAGAGACACTAATTAGTATATATTTCATTCGGATAGTTCAGACATCCAAGGACTTATGAAGAGATAGGGAATAACGAATGACACCAACAGACTGATGGCAAGCCACTACCTCACCTACAAGGTTCCAATCAAGATAGCGCCTGATGCTAGAATTTGTTTGCACAAATATGCAATACATGCATATTGAACATATCTGTGAAAGGACTTTTTCGATACTTAGATGCTGCCAAGTTTCGCCATAAGAATACAAAGAAAATCCAGTTTTGCTCAACGTATTTTGAGGTATTTCCTATTTTAGGAGCAGAAGATGGCATAAAGATAGCATATCAAGTTGAATCAATAAAGGACGATGAAGAAAAAGAAGAGAAAGAGAAAGACTGATGAGTTTCAAAAGTAATAAACAAAAAGCTGGTGACTTACAGAAAAAGAAATGAAGATATCGGTTCATACAAGATTTTGATATGAACAAAATGCACCAACATCAAATCTCGGAACCAAAAATAACCAGATATTGCACCAAACATCTCATTCTACCACTCTCCGCCTTGTGAACAAGGCTCTCTATCTAACAAGTCTAACCAAATTCTTTCTATCTAACAGTGAGTAGAAACCTGCTTGAATTTCAACAATTTAATTGGATTAGATGGGGGTTACCCTAACCTCGGGTAAACCCGAGCTGTACTAATTTTCAAGATTTGTTTCAACATTCACAAGATAAGGGTGAAGACCACTTGATACTAAATTATTATGTACATTCTTCGTTGAGAGAAGTTTTCGTATCCAGCAATTGGAAAACTGAGTGATATTTCTGTCATTTTGTCAGATTCAACAAATTTTTGGCAAATGCTGATTTCTACGTCTCCAGGACAACAACAATTACTTTCTTCAGCAACAATCTTTTCTCTCAATATTTTTCACTTTCTTATATCACTCCTCAGATAAAAAGGTGTCTTTGTCATTTCTTCTCTATGTCCTGACTTTCAGGGTTCACTATATACTTTCTGCCTCTTGTTGCCAACGGCATCAAATTCCTAGCTCAGATACGGAAATTCAGAGTAGACATCACAGGCTGCATTCATTAATCGATCACTACAGCTTTTTGAAACATTCTCATATTTGAAGAAGCCTATCTTCCTAACATCCAGCACTACCTAAAGCAAATTCTACCTTTTGTTAGCTTGCTCGTCCGACTCCTTTGCATCCAGCAGCTTCCAAGGTCCCTTCCAAGTTCCAATCCCACAAACGTATACCCCGTAAGTTGCACTCTTTGAGACTCTTTGAGCATACTAATCGCGATTTTTTGATCTAGAAAACCGCAAAAGACTGAAAATAGTATATCATCCTGCCACTCTCCTTCTTCGTTCTTGGCAAAAGATTCATTGTGCCCAGCTGCATTTTTGATCGCTCCCTTGTCGCATCGATACGTATTCATGATTTCTGTTGAAATCAATCAAACAACAGAATGGTAAGTTCGTCTTTCATATGCATACATATCTTTTTCTTGGGCGAACAAATCTCCATTGTCCTACATTTGTATGATCTTTTATGGCGGACTTATCAATTGGGGTGCTTCCGCCCTCGAATTCCACCACACCCCGTGCCTTATTTTCTCGTGACATTAGCTATCACGGTCATACATACCCTCTACCTTGCCTTAGTGCTGAATATTCAATTTATGAACCTCGTCGTTGTCGAACAATAGTACAATCACACTCCCATCACTAAAAATCCACATCATAAGTCAACTACCCCACTTTCCGACCACCCCCTGTTTCCGACCACCTAAAAAATTCATATTATCTACACTTAAAACTTTAATAACTCAATAACTATTGAACTTCAATGAAATCGCCTGTAGAATCACTTTCTATAGCACTAGAGCTATCATCTACCTCATCTTCACGATCTCCAGCTTCAATTTGTGTACGCCTTATAGCTCTAATCCCTGCGAACTTCGAATTTGGAGATACCACAACCTTTCGCCTTTTTCTAGGTAATGCTTCATCTAATTGATATTCTAGCTTTCTAATCTTATTCTCTGCCTCTAAGAGTTCATAATCCTTAGCATCGAATCCTTTTATAATCTTGCGAAATAGTAATCTTCGTGTTGGCAAATCGATCTCCTTCTCTTGAATCATTATATCTCTATATTTTCTGATATCGGCTCCTTTTTGAGGGGTTTTCCATTGAATAAACGATGAATATATATTCCATTGAAGAATAGGATCATCATCAGATTCAGGATTAAGTGATAAAACCTCTCTATTGCTATTTTCAAGCAAAAGTCGACTCATAAGAGGTTTAGCCATATTTTTGGGCCAAAGACCACTAGCTTGCCACCCAGACTTGATATTTTGAATAGTTAAACCTTCTATTCTAGCCTTCTGATAGCAAGAAAGGAAATTGCGCTTTCCAATTGGTGAGGAATCGGATGATAGACTTAATTTATTAAGTTCGATTCGATATGCACTTTTTAGGGGTGAGAACACAGATAAATCGAGTGGTTGTAGTACGTGTGACGTATGTGGTGGGAGAAGTAAGAGATATATGTTGTTATTAAAGCATTCTAACATAAATGCTGTAGTTTCATGGCTTCCGTGTCCGTCCAAAATGAGGAGTCTTGAATTTTCCGGCTGAATAGGGGTAGTTTGAGGGATATAGATCTTTTTCAGCCATTCTAAAGCTGTAGCATCTGTAGTCCATCCATTTTCTGTAGCGGTAAAGTTCCAACCCTTGAATAGAGTCAAATCTGTTGGAAACCATTGTTGTTGAACTGATTTTCCCTTATATATTACAAGGGGAGTAATGCTTTTTCCATTGGCTGAAATGCATTCTATAAAAGAGGTCCAAATTCGAGATCCAGGTTGCTTTTTTTGAATAAATCTTCGATCAGTGCTTCCTACTACTAGTCCATTAAGACCCTGACCCTCCATTATACCTGCTTCATCCATATTCCATCTGTTGGCCGGCTTAATAGCCTTGATTTCAGGGATTGCGAGGTTCCGGAACCACTTCTTAATAATATCAGATGTAGCACCTGAAACTCGTGCAGAATCGATTTGATGTTGCTTCTTAGTTCCAATATTAGGATGCCTTCGAAAAAAGCTATGTATCCATTTCTTTCCAAGTGAGGGATCCTCCCCTCGTACAATAAGGAGGTGCTCTGCCATCTCTCTGATTTGACGATGTGTAGGGCTAGTACCAAGAGCTTCCTGTACTAATATCCATTCTGCTAGTCGATTCTCCTGAATTGGAGATAACTTTTGAAGTATTTGTGCGCCTTTTTGATGCGAAACTCCACCATATATTCGATCGTGAAGTGTGGTACGTGGAACACCATAATCCAAGCTAGCTCTTCGTATGCTTGCTCCATTTGTAATCGCTCTAAGAGCCTCTGCGATATCTTCTTCGGTATATCTATTCTTCATATCACAATTATAATAATATCAAAATTTCAAATCAATTGATTAAAGCATTGTTGAGTTATTCAAAGTATAAATTTTATAATTACTCAAAGCGGTGTGGTTTTTGAGGTGGTCGAAAAGAGGGGGTGGTCGGAAAGTGGGGTAGTTGACTTAATCAATCCATCTCTTTTTACATAGTCAGCACCTTGTGGGTGCGGCAGCTATAGTCTGTATCTTCGAAGTGCTGGCTATCTTGATACATCAATAGCTTGGTTGACTCGTGTGTTGAGAGTGCTATTACCAGTCACTTCTTCCATCTGAATGGCCCTGCCCCAAGCTATCATTGAGCTCAAAAATTCATTTCTGCTATGATAAGAATGATTAACAATAACATTTTCACTTATGATTTCACTGTGTTTCTCACTAGTAAATACTGACCTATGGATACAGGCAGGACATCAGCCGCGACAGCTCACAACACCATATCCAGAAATTGGCTCACCATGCATCCCTGGAGATATTACCAGCCACGCGATTGGGCAGTATTGCACCATCTGCAAAGGAATGAAGATGCCCTGGGGCGGTTTCATGCCAATTTCCCGATATAATAAAATGCCAGTCTCCGTGGGGCGAAAAGGCACAATCTTACAAGCCGTTCAAGTCGAAAATTCTAATGAGATGAGATTGGTCGCCATGGCCACATGGGCAATTGTGGAAAACAGGTGGAAGGAGGCTGTCAGAATTAATCCCACAATCGAGCAAGTACGGATAAAAGCTGCTGCCCACGCTATTGCAGATATTTGTTTTACAGCCATGGCGTCATCCGAATCTCCAGACAGAGGCTTAGTGAGATGGTGGAATATATTGCATGAAGCTCTATTGAACCCCGACTGGACAGTAGCCAGATTCAAAGCACGATATCGCAGACCTAAAATAGTGCCAAAAGCCCCCGGAGTCGATTCGAAAGCAAACGATCCAATCACCTCACCTATTGCAGATGACGATCCAGAGGGGAAAGATGATGGCCTTGGATATGATAACACAGACCCCATATTGAAGGGTGAAAAGCTTTTGTTCCTTAGTCGCGATGGAGCCGATGGGGACGATGTAGACGATGACAATGATAATGAATACGAGGATGAAGTTGGAAGTTCAAAAACCAAACACGAAATATCTCCTTGGCAATTTGTTCCTGGACAGGATTTGAAGCCTGCTTGTTTGGCTACACCGGACACGTCAAAGTTTTTCATGGTGCGTCAGCTTCGCAAGGACCCAAGTGTCACAAACGTCAGGGAGTATCCACATATCGCTGGTTTTGATTGGAATGATAAGCAGGCTATCCATTCCTTGAATAGAGGAAGAAATCAATTCATCCTACGGACCAATGGGCCAAAGGTGCCGCCTCGATTAGCATGGTCGCAAGTTGAGAAGGATCTTTTGAGACATCAAGTGATCAAGGGTCTTCAACATGGCGTAAGTTTTTTCACTCTTACCAAGTAGTATGTAGCATTGCTATATTGTGCATGCTTGCTGACCTTGACCTGCAGTACACAAAGCATAATATGCCATGGGAGCAAGTTGCCCACAACATCAACGTCGACTTGGAAAAAGTAACACAAAAACAAGGTTCTGCACTTGCAATACCAAGTAAATGGAACACTGAGACGCAACGAATAGATTACAAAACCAAAAGATGCTGCGAGATCAAAAAAGATAGAACCGGGTCCGATCGAAATGCATCTGGTTGTATGAACCAGGCTACCAAGTTTGGTGATATCGACCTATTACTTCGAAACAGCATAGAACATCCCAGCAAGCGCAAGTCTATAGACGAAATGCTCAAGATAATTCAGGATGCCCATCAAGATCCTCCCTCATCTTTCGGGGCTAGCACGACTGCCTGTGCCGCGCGCAATACTGAAAGGCAAGTAGTGGACAAGGAAGAACGTTCAGGTGTTGAATCTTCTTCCACACGAATCGATAAGATGCAGGTGGATAGTGTTGATGACTCTTCGGATAAGGAGCCTCTCATGAAGCGTAGAAAATCAGATCAAGCTTACGGCAAGAACCCCTCGGAGAAGAGTCAATGAAAACATCAAACCTGTACGACACTTTGCGGCCTTCATTCGATGGTCATCTAGTTTCATGTTGGAATTTTCGCTACTCTTTCTGTTATTCGTCCAGTCCTGAACATCGCCAATGACGGGACTGCCACACTAAGGACCTCGGATCTTGAGCAAATTCGACACAACAGCTTCCGTCGGAACGATTTAGGGCTGTATTCCTTTGGTCGATAGGATTGTGCTACTTTGGAAGACTTAATTTGGTATGATAAGATTGGTCTAATGATAAGATAGTGCAGATATGTACAACACTGGGTTTAATGGTAGTTGAGCGCGATGGGGTTCTCCATTGGGGTATGCTTGAATTTTCTCGTTGGAACTTGCAGATGTATGGTGCAGCATATGAGCAGTTGAATCTCTGTTGTTCATTGCGAAGGATCGATATTGTAGGTAGTCTACATTCAGAAAGAAAATGTGGTTCAGACGGCCTTGAAGTCAATGTTCGAATTGAAGTGAACTAGCTCATGCACCTCATGCCGAATCTCAGCCGAAACGTGACATCTTTAGATTTTCCTACTTGAAGCTTATTACTTGGTAAACCATCGTCGTTACTCCGTTATCTACAACTCCATCCTAGTTTCTTCCTTCATTAAGCTTGAAAAGAAGATTTAAACACGATCCATACCTACATTGACATTGAAGAAATGGAATCACATGATTATGATATGGAGCATTATCACTCGTAACAAGCCAATCAAAACCACAAGATACAAAGATCGACGAATCACGGCGATCCCAGCGCTTTGATCACCCAGCGAATCGTGGAGAATAGATTCAGGGGAAAACAAACGAAGAATCTAGACGCGGGACAAAAGTATTGCAATCTTAAAAATTTCTCTCTTCTACCAAAACGGACTAAAGAGCAATGAATGAGCAAGCCACAATCAGCCCCAGATCCACAGATATCCCATTCTGGTGAACATTCACGAATTAATCTACTTTTCTTATGGTATTCTCTCTTGAGGATGGAAAGAAGCTAGAGACGGATTGGGAAATAATGAAGGTTTTGACATGGTAAGTGACTATGTTGGCGCTTCGAATGGGATTGCTCATCCGTTACTCTGGGGCCAAGAAAAGCGTGAAGGCTCTCAAAGCGGGATATAAGTAGCTAGCCAGGGGCCACATTGTCTGTTGGGTCCTCCAGATGTTCCGTTCCCTACGTGCTCTGGTATTTTCTAGGAGGCAGTGAAAGAATAGAAACATAATGAATTGGTATCAGAGAAGGTATTCCCTCGAGTATCACTCCGGCCAAACTAACGAATAACTCACGATACTGCAGGAAACTTTATGTGATGTGTAAAAGTACACAAATGCCATGCTTGCCTTGTGGCTCTGGCAAGAAAACACGGCTCGCCCCCGCAAACAATCTTACCCTGCTCTCCAAGGGACCAGAACGTGCTCGCATACTAGTAGTATCGCACTATCTATACTTAGTGCAATTGTGATTGTTTTCCTTGGGACTGTAGAGCTGAACTTGGTTCCCAGAATCATTTTTATACAAAGATTAGGTCATCTCTCTTTAGATATCCCATATCCATTCCTCTCTCAATTCATCCACTCATTTATCTTTGATTGTATCTTTCTTTCTTTTAAACTGTTCTCAGTCATTCAATATGAGAGTTTTAGTCATTCTGTCTGCCTTAACCGGCTTGAGTCAGGCTGTTGTCGTCGCTCCACGACAAGCTGTCAGTCCTTCGGAAGTTGCTGTCACATCGACCACTCTTAGTACAGTCACCAACACCATTACTACTGCCTACCCAGTTATCACTACAGCGACGACCTGTAATGTAGATAGCGTAATCCCAAAAGGCACTTGCTCGGCCGGCGCAGTTTGGTCTCTGACCGGAGGCAACTATTATTCTCAGCAATGCGGTGCATCACTCATTGGTGGAACTGTTATTCGTGCCTATGTCGAGCCCGTTGGAGCAGCTGCCACTTCTATCTGTGTGTCTATCTGCAATGCTCTCAACAATTTGAAAACATCTGCCAGTTCATGTAACGGAATTGTGTTTACCACTATTGGTGCTCTTTATGAGTGCTTCTTGAATAATGGACCAGTCACTCAAGCACCAGCTGCTGCAAGCGTGTTCAACATTGTGCAGTTGACCACTAATCCTTGTGTGGTCACGAGCACTGCGTTCCAAACAGACGTTTCTTACGAGACAATTACGTCTACGATTGAAGTCGTTTATACTTCGACTGTGACTCCATCTGCTGCTGCCAGTAGTTCAGTCGTCACCATTCCTTCAGCCGCTACAACCACCAGTACCAGTACTTCAGAAATTCCATCGGCAGCCGCAACCACTAGCACTTCTGAAATTTCTTCAGCCGCTGCCAGCACCTCCAACATCGTCATCTCTCCAACCAATACAACAATAATCACCTCCCAAGCCCCAACCTCAAAATCCGCCATCTCCTCAACTAATACAACCATTCGTACTTCCGAAATCCCCTCCTCAGCAACCACAACCTTAATCCCAACCTTCGCTCCAACGAATGGAACCATCAGTACTTCCCAGACCCAAACCTCAATCCCAACCTTCTCTCCAACCAATACAACCACCACTCCACCCCAAAACCCCTCCTCGGCAGCCCCAACCTTGGTATACACCAACTCCTCCATCTCTATCCCCACAACCACTTCTCAAACCCCAACCCTCCCCTCAGCAGTTCCAATCCTAATGTTCACCAACTCTTCCATCCCAATCCCCATCTCCACAACAACAACCACTACTTCCGCTGCAGCCGCTTCCAGTACTACTGGAAATGAGGATGAAAACGACGATGACGAAGATGTGTGTTACTACGATGACGAGGAAGATGAAGATGAAGAAGAGGAAGAAGATGAGTATTAGATTAGAAAATCAGAAAAGGAAGAGTCTAGATGGGAGTATGTATATGTGTGTATAAAGATAGAAGGAGGAAGTTATAGAATTCCAAGAGAGAAAAAGAAAGAAAGAGAAAGAGAAAGAGAAAGAAAAAGAGGAATAGAGAGCGGAACATGGGAATGAATAGAGTGCCTGCACACAGCTCATCGCAAATGTAATCGTAACGTTCTTGTATATAATTACTCTTTTAACATATAATATATAATATCCAGAATCAATTATCCAACCTTTTTTTACTTGAATTTGAGCTTATTACAACACAAGACTCGCTGTGAAACTTGAACGAATTGTAGATTATTGATCTCACCATCATTTCAGTTTGACCGAGTGTGAGGATTTAATACATACGTCTAACGCGCATATATATGTTTCACTTCCCCCTTCCTTCCAAGCCCTTTTGGCTTAATGTTAGTTTCTGGGGAACGAATCCATGATTCCTCACATACCCCGCCTTCCAATTTCCACTCGCAAGTTGTCTGCTCTCTAGCACTGGAATCTGATAGTTTTAACCACAACATTTTCCCGCGTTGTGGTCCTTCGTTTCCCATCGCGATATATACATGATGATTATCTTATAAAAATCTTAGATTATTTTGTAGTCACAAGAAATCCTCTCTCTTCTCTAATTCATTTTCTGTCCATTCTATGCTGGGAAAGATTCCTCGAAGATTCCTCCCTACATACGATCGCGGATCCACCTCTTCGTCATGCTACCCTTATCACGGATTTCAACCATTATCCATGCTGCAAATAGACGGGTCTGATAGGATTTGTACAAGTTTATAGAAACACATACCTCTAAATAAGAGATGAACTTAGCAAGTAGATATGTGATACAAATCCCATGTGTGATGAAGGACTGAATACCCGACCGAACTTTCACAAAAGCAGGTGCATAAGCGGACAAAAAGGGGTCATCACATACCTACCTAGGTATTTTTCCCATACCATCACTTCCCAACACGTCACAAGCAAGAACAAAGCACATCACAAATTCAATAAAAACATTTTCTTCATCGATTTAATTATCCTACACTATCATAAATAGAGACAAAGCACAAACCCAACCCGAGCCCAGATAAAGAAAAGAAAATTACCTCATAATCGTAAATGTGCTCCATAATCTCTGACTATCATACATATCCCAACCTTATTGCATCATGAAGAATAATAAAAGCTGTATGCACGCCATCGAGATTATCTGTTTTTGTAATCTTTACCATATCCATATCGCTATGTACCATACCGTATCGCCGTACCTAAACCTGAAATGAATGAAATTTTGTGCTGTGTGGAATTGCCGAGTGCCGAATTTGGGGGCTGGTGTCATCATTTTTCATGAGAACTGTCTCCTTATGGATGAGAATAACTGGGGAAAATGTTCGCGTGAGCTTTTTTTTGAATGGAATCTGTGCGAAAACAGTGATGAATTTGTATTGTCGGGAAACAGTAGTTGTACATTTGAGAATTTGCGGTGGAAGTTTTGTGTTTCTCAATGTGTCGATTGGTGACTGGAAATTGAGAGAACCCCAAAGCGAAACACCAAGAAGACAGAGGCTGAGCAACAATTTGTTTGTCAAGAAGGATTACAAGACAAGCATGCTGGGTATCAACACGTAGTAGAAATTCCACCGGCATGGATTTAGAAATAGCCTATTTCCTGCCTGAAGTGGCGTCAAACTGCTTTGCACTACTCTTGGGAAGCTTCAACCCAAACGCAGTGTTCAATGCAGATGGTTGGGATGTTGAAGGTGGTGATCCATCATCCTCTTCATTATCGTTGTGCTTCTTTAACATACGAGGAGGTGGGCTGCTTGAATAGCGACGGTGAATAATCTTTGGCTTCTTTGCTGCACGACCATTTCCTGTATCATATACATCATCGAACATGTGCACAAATCTCTTGCTAGGAAGGTCCAGAGTTCGCTTTGCCAACGGATTAAGCTCTTTGGTCGGCGCATTATACATCGTGCCGGAAGCCCTACTCTTGTGTTTCTTTGTTGGTGAATCGTCATCCTCATCTTGTTCATCATTAATAGCCTGTGAAAAGCTGCTGCGGGCGACGCGCGTGTCTTCCTTTGTTGGTTGACTGTTGGATTCTTTCTTCTCGTCACCAGCAGCTTGCGGGGGTCGATAGGGACCTCTGAGCATGCCACGTCCTCCCTTTCCACCAATTCCAGTTGCATCATTGATCAACTTGAGAATATCTGGGTATTTCAAGGCTTGTGTCTCCGTTGCAGAGCCAGTGCGATTGTAACCTACGCGGTCGCTGTGACTAGTCTTGAGAGCTGTGAAGCAAGTAGTTAGCTATCATATCTCAAGAATAAAGTGAATCCGTAATCGCAACCCGGGCCTCACGGCCCTTCAAGTTTCCAATCACACAAAAGCAGCAAGGAAATATTAACTTACTTCTATCTTTCTTGCCATTCTTTAGTTCTCTCTCAACTCCTGGTGCCAACTTAGATCCCTTCTTCTGTACAAAGCCATCGAATCTCTGTCTGAGTCTGTCTGCGATCTCATCCCAGTCAATCGTATGTCTTGTCTCACCGACTCTAATCGCATCTTGTACCTCTTCAAAGAGTTTATCCTTTTCCAGCTGTGTCCATGGAATTCGTGTTTCGGCAATGTTACCATGTGTACGCTTACGATTCTGAGCTCTAGCCTTATTGAGCTTCTTGATGTCGGCAGGATCATTCCAGTCAAATCCGGCAATTTGTGCGTATTGACGGAGATCAACTTCTTCGGGATCATCGACATTTTGGCGAGTCAAATAGAACTTGCTAGGGTCTGGGTTTCCGAGTTGTGCATTTGTGATGTCTGTTCCTTCAACAAAACGCCATGTAACATTGGCACGACCTGGTGTATTCTTCTTAACTTCTGGAATCTTACGAAAGTAAGCCCCTTCAAGTTCTTCTTCATCATCATTGCTATCGTAGAGCTCAACTTCCGAGGCCTCTTCGCGAAAACGTGGTGTTCTGGGTGTCGAGTCATGGCGGTTTGAAAAATCCAACCGACCACGCGATCGTGTGCCGTTTATTTTGGTTCCATAAACCAATGCAGACGCGGGGGTACATATGCGTATAATACTCTTGAACGTAGCGGGGACTCCATTGTGGAGCATCATTACCAGTGCTATGCGCTCCTTCCCTCAACCAACTTACAAAGTCGAACGTGAATTGAACATATCCTGGACCTCTGCTCTCGTTCCTATTGAGATGATTCATAAGTTCACGAGCCTCAGCTTCGGTGCGCCCGTCGCGAGTGTTTTCATAGTTTATCGCATCCTCTCTGGTAAGCATCACTGGAATACCGGTCAAAAATCGTGTTGAGATTCGAGCTTTTTTAACGGCAGGTGCTGGATTCTTTGCTTGGAAGTTCCACTCTCCAGTTGTCTGTGCGAAGTATCGGTCGTGCGTCAAATTGGGATCTTTCAACAACTCATGGAGTGTATCGAACCATTGTGGTACTCGTTCGCTCTCACCTTCATCAGCCAAGGTTCGAAGCTCTTTGACCATATTTGCAATTCTATGAGCAACATCATGCAAATGTGGGAAGTACTTAAAAGTTGCAACGAGACCAGGGATGGTGGCAAGATCTTGTTCTATGATGCGAAACTCGATAAGTAGAGCAAGCTGGGCAATCTCGAAGGGCTCAGTTAAGTTTCTTACACCCTCTAGCAATGCACCTTGGGGGGGGACTTGGATTTTGTTGCCGTTCGTGTCGAGAGCCACTGGAAGTCTGTCTCTCCATGGCATTTCCATATATCGACAATGAAAACAAAATCTACCGATGGAGTGATTATACAGGAAAGGGCAAATTGGATTGGGTATCTCCTTGATGATCCGTGGCACATGTGGAGAATGTAAGGGACTGAGTGTTGAATCGAGTGGCATTTCTGATCCGTCTCTACGGTCGCTCGGCAGAGGGGTCTTGTGGGTAATCTTCTTACCGGCGGTGGGGGTATTGCTAGATTTATCATCACCACCGCCCCCAGTAACAAGGCCCGAATCGCGCTCTACAAAAGAAGTCGCAGGTCTTTGCTGTTCATCTCCGAAATTTTCGCGGTGAATTATAGGAGCTCGATCTTTTTCCTGGAAAGCAGCAAGCGGCACTGAGAACATCCAAGCTTTTGCAAAGAGGTGACTTCGGACAGCTATACGTGCTCTTTTCTCCGTCTGTTCCATCTCTCGTATACTCTGCATTATGTGTACTCGTCTGTGGTCGGATTTCGATTTTTCGCTAAGTGTTAAAATGAATTATGTATGAATACTTGAGATCTTCGATCAGGTAATCAGGTGAATGCCTAGATCTTGGAACGTATGCAGTATTTAAACGAGAATTCTTAAAGACTGTTCAATGATATGAACCAGATAAATTTGAGTTGGAGATTGTGTGAGGTAATGTCACTGACGGGAAAATGTCAAGTGCGCTCGTACAGAATTGAGTCAAAGACGAAAGATGAAAGTAAGTTACGAATTTGCTATGCAAGGGGGTAAGAAGTCTGAGTGAAGATATGCAACGAAGCGTGATGAAGATTCGATGCACAAGCGCAAGAAGGAATGATGAATTTGCCTGGACGATTGAGAGAAAGATAGTCCAGACATAGAGTGCACTCTACGACGAGGCTCTACTTACAAAGTGAAGAGTGGTTGAGCTAAGTGCAATGCGGGAGATTTGATCTATCGTGCTCAGGCGCGAGGATAGAGAGAGTGGAGGAAGTGTATTGTGCAGGAAGAGAATTGCCTTTTATGAGAAGTGCTTCAATTCGCAAGAGTGAAGGAATAAGGATAGGCAAAGGGCTCGAGAAAGAGATAGCATATAAAGAGCTGGAAAGGAAAGGATGCGCTTACTGGAGGTGAAATGAACTTTTGGAAACTTCGAGGATATTCTCACGAGAAATCAAGAAATCGTGTCAAAGATGTTTAATGCTGACGAAAGATGTGGAAATCCAATATCAAGAAAAGATTGAAGAATTGTTGTTGCTAAGTAGACTTAGAGAGAGTTGTATGAGATCGAGATGTTGATGTTGTGAGGATGGAAGAAGTTGTTATGAGAAAGAAAGAAATCAAAGAAGATGAAGATTCGGGATCCTTTTGTATCAATGTTGAAACTTGATAGAAAATCTTATTCTGCGGTAGAATCATCTATCACCCTTTACCCCGCCCTTGGTACGGTGGTTGCTATGTGAAAATATATAACATATGTATAAACAATTTTCTTCTGGGGAAAGTGAGGAGTGAATGTTTTTAGATGGTTTGGGATGGTATTGTTGTTTTTGAACATACATTTTCTATTCCCACAGAGCCGTACATGTTCCACTCAAAACATTCTGTTTTAATACTGTGATCTAATCTTGTGCCTTGGTGTATGGATATCATCGGCATGAAGATAACCTCAAATGTTATCTTTTTCATTCACCATTTTCGGGTGTGTATTGGAATGTAAGACTCATGTGGCTCTTTTGCTTTCTCAAACATCCTAAGTTCTATGAAAGGAAGTATGTGACCCTCTCCTTGTCCTCTCTCTAGATGATAGTTTCAATGAAGACTTCAACAAATCTCACCTTGTCTCTTGTCAGAATCTAGACTAACCAGTGAACGTATATGTTAACTTTTGAAGCATTCGAACGGAATTTGTTCAAGATTTTGGCGGATATTATATACCAACTCACAGAGATGAAGGATACTACATCACCATTTCAATGTTTGAGAAGAAGCTATTGCTTAACTATAGTTTGTGCATGGAGGCAAAGAGTATGAAGGAGGGTCTTGATCCAATTCCCGTATCAGTAAGCCGCCAGCTCGTTTTCTTCTAGCCTCATATTATTACAATTCACACGTACTCCTCCACTCTAGCCTCCAAGCTCTTCGAGGCGAAGAGGAAAAGAGGAAAAAGGAGGATTAGGAACCTCGTCAAGCTTCCAAGCGAAATACCGTGCAGGCCAGCTAGATTATTAGAGATGATTAATATTGTGAGAGAATGCTATAGGGAGATAAATGAGCAGATCTGGTTTCACGCTGCATGATTATTTTATTTCGATTAGTCTTGGTAGCAAATGTATTTAGGTCAAAGTTAAAATCAGAAACTTTCCATCTGCAGGCACTTATTACTCAGAACATTATCCGCGTGTACCTAGTCCAACTTCGAGCGTCGCAGCCCCCTATCTGATCATCAAGCTAACTTTTATCATTTTGGGCTTTATGTGTCGGCGACGTGTGTGAAATTTCAAAAGAGTGATCAAAAGCTAGCATTCATATCATGAAACAAGTCACATGTAAGAATAAACATAAATGGCATGCACAGAACCTTGATTTCGATCTGTATAAAACCCAGGTCTGTAAACACTCCAAACGCCGTGGAATGCCATGGTATCAAAATAGTCGAAGAAATCCGGCAGCTCCATGATCCCAAGAAACTGTCCCGTCCGTGTCCCATCATGATTCAATACGCCCAAAAGTCAGTTAATGACTGACAGATGTTGCTCGCCAAGTTTCTAGCTGCTCTAGAAGTCAATCGAATCCCCATCACCCTCCTCGTCGCCAGGTGACCAGCTTCCGACGGATGTATCAACAGGAGAGCGTCTACCATCGATAGTTACGCTAACAGCGATCATCGTTAGTAATTTGAAATCTCTAAATCCTCAGAATCATGCGAAACTTACCGAGACTTTCCACTGGTCTGTGGGTTTGACTCAGAGTGTTAATCTCCCAGTGACGACGAGCCTTGTTCAGTCTATCAACATGCTCCTTATTGCTCCAATCGAATTCATCGATATGCAAATCGATGCGCTTCTTCTCGATCTTTGTGGGGACTCCTAATATCATAGCGACGAAGGATGAACTTGGAATTGTCGGGTTGGCCAACAACGGCAGGCGTCAAATCTGTATCACCAGTAAACAGGCCCAAGCAAAAATGGCATCCTGGATCGATCCCGCACTGAGTTTAGCCTTGGCTGAACCCCGATTCATCGGTGGAGATTTACTTCATGCTGGGACTGCGGCGATGCTCTTCAGACTTCGTATCACGAGGTGTGATTTGCAAGAGGACCAGATTTGACTGTCTTGTCTGTCAAGTTTACCCAGTTCATCCTCCTCATCGTGGGCCTCTACATCAGCCTTCTTGAAGGTCCCCTGCCCCTATAGGCACTATTCTCGGCGGTGTCTCTTATGATCACCGAAGAGACCGGTAGGAACGATCGCATCTGCGAGGTTTGCAGAGGAAGTTTTCGCGGAGGAGGGCGGATTTTCCTTGGTGACCTGGCTGTCCAAATGGTGGAAGAGGTGCTTTGGTGGGTGGAAGTTCTTGGTTCCTCTTCTGAGACATTTGACCTAGATTAATTCTTTGTTACGGTTAGTGAATATAATTGATTGTTTGATTTTTGCAAGTAGAAACTAGGGATGAGTGAAACTGCTGGCTAATCTTCAGGTAGATTACCATGGAGCAGTTGAGAGTAGTGAACTCAGGGTAGATTCTCAAGTCTTTGATAGTAGAATATGCTTAAAATTTGATGTCCTGAACTAAGACAACTTCTGCAAAATAGATGCCTTGAACGATGGTGTGTTGCAAGTATCAAAATATGCACAGAGGGTGTGAACTTGGTTGTTTTGTATGAGTATCTTGTCCTTGAAGGTCTTTCCAAGGATTAAAATTTCTCAGATCCTTGATGTAAGAGTTTTCTATGAAATAAAGAAGTTCTCAAGGTTTTCAAATAATCTGTTTATATAGATAAATAAAGGTACGGCCATTTGTTCTGAAACGACATACAGCTGGTCGGCAGGTCGACGACGTATGTCCAAGGATTCATTATTCACATTTGTTATAGGAAACCTAACTCGAACACTAATGTTATCAAATACAAATACATTATTCGTGAATGATTCAGGAAAGTAATTAGACAGAGTTATTTGTGGAGTTTGTGGTTTCTAACATTATTATTTACTACAAGTAGGAGGGGGAGGGGGTGATTGATTCAAAGGACATCAGATGAAATTGATTTGTCCAATGGTTAACGAAACTGGGTAGCTTCTACAGGTAGCTCTCTAGGTGAATACCAAAATAATTGTATAAGAACACATAGGCAATCACTGGGATTCAATCATTTTCACTTGCACATTCATAATCTGCCTTTTATCGCATTTTAAGTAAAGAATATGCAGAGCCATATCAAAGCCTATCCTATTTCTTCTTTTATTATATAATTGCTAAACCACAGTCAGGAATACCACTTTCAAGTACAAAGCTACAATGTAACGAAGCCCACCCGGGTAGGTAATGAATTCTGAAATCCGTTGCTTCACTTATCGAATCTTTGGGTACACGACGCATATATTTTATTCTTGAAGCCTGGACTTTGCACACGAACTATGATTGAAGTGACTCGCAATGAATGGAATAAGATCAAAATTTAGAGAGAACAAGGAGATAATCTCAATTTTTCAACGGAAGATCTTTATCAAAAGTTACATCTTCCAAGTATTTCCTCTTTGCTCTGGGGAACCTAGAGATGGACATAAGATAGTAATGCGCTTGTTTATTCTTTACAATTACCGACCTATTATCTATCCTCCTAAGTACTGAAGACTGCTTCATCCAGCTTCCCAACTACTCTACATTCTCAGCATTTTCCGCTCCGAACAATGGATCCCTCAACTCAGTGTCCACCAAATCTAATTTATGAACTTGACTTAATCGGTAGCCAGAGCCAAACAGCAACTCCAATATTCTCGATCTCAAGATCCAGGTACATCCGATCAAAGAGTCTTTCTTCGAGTCCCTTTTGTGGACAGTACCCGGTAGTTCCGATCTTTGAATATTGAAGCAATTTGGGGATTGGCATCGGGGGGGTCGCTTAGGCAATTTTGACCACTGGAAGCTCGATTCAAATGCCCCACTACATGAGAAAACAAGATAATGAAGCTTGGTTAACGTGGTTTATTAGTACGTATACCATATCAGTATATATATTATTATTTTATATACAAAAAACGGCTGTATATAATCATACACTTTTTTTATTTATTAGTATAATTTAATTTTTCTTTATATATATTATATTATTTATATAAATAATATGAAAATGAATTAAATAGTAAAATCTTATAATAATAATAAGATTATTCAAAGAAATTGATTTTTGTAATGTAAAGTATAATATTCTTAAATTACAATTGAGATATCTATAAAAAGATTAAATTTTATAAATATTTTATTTTTATTATTTATAGGGAAACTTTTTTTAAAAAAAATAATGATTAATAATTTAAATAAAAATATTAATAAAGACTAATTTTGATGTATTTTGAAGTGGTGCATAATTGATATAATGTATGTACTGATCAAACACGTTAATACACAAACTGTGAAAAGGTTTCCATAACGGAGTATTGTCATATTACTCGTCCATAGTCTCTCATCAGCACACTTTGTGCTTCTATCTTACATGACATAAGGATACAATTAACATGAATGCGGGAAAATAGAAGCAATTTTGGGACTTATGAAGAAAGGGGTCGCAGTTGGTAACTAGCTATGTTAGTCTGCGGCATCCACTTGGCGCGGCAGATGCCCTCTCTGAGCTTTGTAGAAATTGTAGTAAGCAAATCTTGTCTTACTCCGAATTTAACCTCCGAGACAGATGACAGTTCGTAAAAATAATACGCGAATTTGTTCGCTTTATGCCACAAAATACCGCAGAAAGTTTGCCAATTGCTTGGGACAAAACAATTTTCCCTCCAGTTTATTCAACAAGGTGTTTGGTGATCCACTCGAGCCAGCCGTTACGCTCACCTCATTTGAGCGTATTCCACAATGTTATGCGCCAAGTGGCCGTGGAGGGTTCGCCGGAGCCTCTAAGTAAGTCAACTACCCCACTTTCCGACCACCCCCTGTTTCCGACCACCTAAAAAATTCATATTATCTACACTTAAAACTTTAATAACTCAATAACTATTGAACTTCAATGAAATCGCCTGTAGAATCACTTTCTATAGCACTAGAGCTATCATCTACCTCATCTTCACGATCTCCAGCTTCAATTTGTGTACGCCTTATAGCTCTAATCCCTGCGAACTTCGAATTTGGAGATACCACAACCTTTCGCCTTTTTCTAGGTAATGCTTCATCTAATTGATATTCTAGCTTTCTAATCTTATTCTCTGCCTCTAAGAGTTCATAATCCTTAGCATCGAATCCTTTTATAATCTTGCGAAATAGTAATCTTCGTGTTGGCAAATCGATCTCCTTCTCTTGAATCATTATATCTCTATATTTTCTGATATCGGCTCCTTTTTGAGGGGTTTTCCATTGAATAAACGATGATATATATTCATTGAAGAATAGGATCATCATCAGATTCAGGATTAAGTGATAAAACCTCTCTATTGCTATTTTTCAAGCAAAAGTCGACTCATAAGAGGTTTGCCATATTTTTGGGCCAAAGACCACTAGCTTGCCACCCAGACTGATATTTTGAATAGTTAAAACCTTCTATTCAGCCTTCTGATAGCAAGAAAGGAATTGCGCTTTCCAATTGGTGAGGAATCGGATAATAGACTTAATTTATTAAGTTCGATTCGATATGCACTTTTTAGGGGTGAGAACACAGATAAATCGAGTGGTTGTAGTACGTGTGACGTATGTGGTGGGAGAAGTAAGAGATATGTTGTTATTAAAGCATTCTAACATAAATGCTGTAGTTTCATGGCTTCCGTGTCCGTCCAAAATGAGGAGTCTTGAATTTTCCGGCTGAATAGGGGTAGTTTGAGGGATATAGATCTTTTTCAGCCATTCTAAAGCTGTAGCATCTGTAGTCCATCCATTTTCTGTAGCGGTAAAGTTCCAACCCTTGAATAGAGTCAAATCTGTTGGAAACCATTGTTGTTGAACTGATTTTCCCTTATATATTACAAGGGGAGTAATGCTTTTTCCATTGGCTGAAATGCATTCTATAAAAGGGTCAAATTCGAGATCCAGTTTGCTTTTTTTTGAATAAATCTTCGATCAGTGCTTCCTACTACTAGTCCATTAAGACCCTGACCCTCCATTATACCTGCTTCATCCATATTCCATCTGTTGGCCGGCTAATAGCCTTGATTTCAGGGATGCGAGTTCCGGAACCACTTCTTAATAATATCAGATGTAGCACCTGAAACTCGTGCAGAATCGATTTGATGTTGCTCTCTTAGGTTCCAATATTAGGATGCCTTCGAAAAAAGCTATGTATCCATTTCTTTCCAAGTGAGGGATCCTCCCCTCGTACAATAAGGAGGTGCTCTGCCATCTCTCTGATTTGACGATTGTGTAGGGCTAGTACCAAGAGCTTCCTGTACTAATATCCCATTCTGCTAGGCGATTCTCCTGAATTGGAGATAACTTTTGAAGTATTTGGGCGCCGTTTTGATGCGAAACTCCACCATATATTCGATCGTGAAGTGTGGTACGTGGAACACCATAATCCAAGCTAGCTCTTCGTATGCTTGCTCCATTTGTAATCGCTCTAAGAGCCTCTGCGATATCTTCTGGTATATCTATTCTTCATATCACATAATAATATCAAAATTTCAAATCAATTGATAAAGCATTGTGAGCTATTCAAAGTATAAATTTTATAAATTACTCAAAGCGGTGTGGTTTTTGAGGTGGTCGAAAAGAGGGGGTGGTCGGAAAGTGGGGTAGTTGACTTAGTTCTTATTTAATGTGTCCTCGAACCCATAGGTAAATTGTATTTTGTTTACCCACAAACTATCTACTGTGTCTTCTTCTTTATTTTCAACCCTGTCCATAAGCTTAATCTTAACTTGGACAACCCTCATGGCAAAATCTTTCGAAGGAGCAGAACTTGCTACCTTCAATACGAAAGAACTTACACCCAATCTCGTCGATGCAATTTCTGCAACAGAACCTGAAGCCATCTTCGACTGAATACCCTGTGAACCCCCGTCAATTAAGAATCTGGCTATCAAAAGTTCACGTACAGATCTCTAGCAAATACCGCTAATGGTTATAGCAAGGTAGCTTCAAGAAAAACTGGACCGGGGGAAGAACTTTCCTGCCTTGGCTTAAATTGGTCCTAATGATATTGTCGCCATTGCTTCTTATTGGGAGCTGTCAAGCCTGGATGCAAGGTGGTGTAATCTGATTACTTCAAGACCCTGATTTGAATAAGCAATTGACATCTGCTACTTATCTAGGCCCTTCTTATATCGCCCAGAAAACAGTATTCGTGCGCCAGAAAATCTACCTACTTTTACTAAATGTAAAACTCTGGTCACAACAAGCCCCCGATAACTCAACTACAACCCATGATAGCTGCCCTTTCTTCAATGGCTCTTTAAATACTCGAACTACCTAATATCTGAGACTTAACCGAAAACCCTCACGAACATTCTCCATTCAAAGAAATCTCTTGAAGCGGCTCAAGATGAGCCCTTCGTGGTTTGAACATACTTCTGGAACCCACAGAACTACCAAAGCCCATCGTGTAGACTCATGATTGTATTGCTACGGCCACACAACGGATTGAAGCTCCGCAGGCTATGTTAATCAAATGGACTTTTATGGCTGGGTAAGAAAGAGATGACTTTTGATTGTTAGATTCAGAGTCCGTATCTTTTAATACATTTCCAAATTTCCATGTAAGTTATGCTGGAACTCTGTAGCCATGAATTGATACTAATTAAGATAGGCCGCCGGTGTTTTCTTCGGTTGGAATCAACGGTTTCCGTGGTCGGAGTGTTTCCATATATCCAATAGCTGGTCTCCATTCAGCTAGTCTTTTGATTGACGGTCTAAGCATAACAATGCTGATATCGCGGTTCTCGTCCCACCCTACGTTGTTGATCTTGCTAAATACGGAGGGGTCTAGATTTCGTTGGCAGGAAAATCCTAAAACGTATCATTTATCTTGCAGGTGCCATTCCGCCAGCCGCTGGAGACGTTTATCTCTTCCAAAATTGAAACTCCTCGGCCACGTGGGAGCCCAGAGAGCATTGTTATCCCTTCCTTGAAGTCCAGTCAATTACACGATGAAACTTTTAGGGTCACCATCATTTGATCCCTGCGCAAATATATCCTTCTAGCATCAGGCTGATGATCTTTATGAAGCTGTCTGGAATAGAAACCGTGAACCAGAAAAATTACAACGTATCTTCAAAAACCTTCCTAAAAACTTCAGCAGTGGAGATCAACAGATCTCTACTCGCTACCTCCTACGCAACCAGATCTTTGGCTTTCACGTGGTCGAGGAGATGACATTATAGTCTTCCTTACTGGAAGGAAAAAAAAATCCTTATTCCCATGGAACATCGACTCAATTGACACCCAGAGATTTCGTCAAGCAATGGTTATTGGCGCATTGAGATTTCAAGCCGCTCTCTTGATTGAACCTTGTCGATCAAAAGTCATGACAGCGATAGAAAGGGCAGAGTTATTGAAAGCATTTGGCCCTGCTATAGAAAATGCTAATTTGACATGTCCACACACGCCAGAATTGCAAAATCTCATTTCTTTTCACGGAACCAGGGCGTCCTATTTCTTATGTCGGCGAGAGGAACTATACAACGAAGTCCCACATCACGAGAATATGCTTCTGAGATAGAGAAGTTATATGGCGATGCTGATAAGATGTCTGCATACAGTGCAGGTGAGAATGATTAAAACGAGGAACACGTCGATATTCAAGATGTTGAGGCAGTGTATAAACTCTTACATCTAGCTGTTCTTAAGGTCACCAAATGGGATGAGGTCAAAATACAGATGAAGATGATTCGTTCGTTCAGGAGTGGATTTTCTGCAGGCGTTTGCAACTCATTCGACATCTAAAAAAGGCTCTAAACAAGCCCGATCTCGCAATCTCTATCTTGTACGCCAATCCTTCTATTGCTCAGTTACTATATTCGATTGTTACTACGTCTAAGGATGAGCCGAACATAAATATATTGAATGCGTCGAATCGCCATCGTGAGATTGAGGAAACTCTCCAACGATACATTCAACCTTGTTGACAGAAATCTCTAGTAAGCATGAGTTTGGGAAAAAGTTATCCACAGTCAATGAACACGTAGTCATTTTGACGGGCTCAACTGGTTCTCTTGGATCATACATCCTAAGGGACATTGATGCAAGATAAATCCGTATCACATATTTATTGTTCAGATCGAACGTCCTCTGCCCGTTCCCGCCGTCAAGAAAAGTATAAGAACAACAACGAATCCACAGATTTCTCAACCTCTAAAGTTACGTACCTCAAGATAGATCTCTCTAAATCCGGTTTGGAAGTCGATAACGAAACATGCAAACGAATTCAAAGTTCTGCAGCAGATATCATCCACAGTGCTTGGCCAGTAAACTTCAACCTCTCTCTTGAAACACATAAGCCACAACTTGACGGGATTATCAATCTTCTATCTTTCGTCTCCACAATTCCACATCATGTCTCTCTTCTGTTCTTATCATCCATCAGTTCTATATTAGGTCTCGAATCAACATCCATACCCGAGATGATTATCGACGATACATCGGCACCCCTCCCAATGGGCTACGCAAAGAGTAAATTCATCTCCGAATGTATTCTCGACCACGCTGCTAGGGAATTATCTATCGACATCAAGGTTGCTCGTGTAGGTCAAATTTGCAGGTCCTGCTTAACACATCTGGTGTGTGGAATAGATCTGAGGGATGCCGAGTCTAGTGATTACTTCTTACAATACAGGATTTTTACCAGAGAACCTTGGTAGTGATGAGATGAAATTAGATTGGATACCGGTTGATCTCCTTTCATCTTAACTAGTTGATCTCTTACTCAACACAGATCTCAAGCTTCCGAATTGGGTGCTAGTATATTCCATCCGCTGAATCAAACTCCTACGACGTGGAATACTATACTCCACGTCATTTTGAATACCTTGAATTCTTTGAATCCCAAAGTCACTCTTGCAACAATCTCTTACACAGTCCTGGCTTCGGAAATTGAAAGATACGACGAGAAAAATTGTATCTGGTACTACGCAGTTGGAAGAGATATTGGAAAAGTATCTAGCGATTAAACTGCTTGAATTTTCTGAGACGTTGCCGGAGACGAAATGGTCGGATAAAGATGTGGAGAAGGCGATAGAATAGAAGCTAGTGTACATTTGAAGGGATTGAGGGGGTGTGGATGAAAAAATGGGTTGAGGGTTGGATTCAGGGCTTAGGTTGGGTGATGGGTGGTTTTGGAGTAGAGACGTGTAAGGAATTGAGAAGGGGTGTTTTTGATGTGAGAGATAAGGTTAAGGGAAAGGTATAGGGTAGTTACAATATTGTTAAGCTCATGATCAGTCTTGTCTCGAAGGCCGGCAGAATTCGTTCGGGAGATCTTGATTCTATGATTACATGATATAAATTATCAATATCGAAAACATTTCTTACTATTGATATCATCAATCCCATCATTACTCATGAACTACCATTACACTTAACCTAAAAGTCCATTCCCAACAACCAACCCCTCTATTTAAACAACGCCACCGACTTTCTACTATATCCCACCGTCGTAGGCCACGCACTATAATCCGGCGTGAATAAAATCGCATCATTACAATCACTTCCCAAACTCGTATTATTCAGCCACGCCGGTTCCCAATAATGCACACCTCTTCCCAATCCATGCGGTACATTCCTCACCACACTAATCACATCCTCCGTCCACTCCAGCTGTCCCGCAACCGTATACGGAATCTCCGGCTCGCTGCTCTGAGGAATCGGATTATATTGTCCATCGCAAATTGCCGGGTAATCCGTCTCGGCCACATGAACCGGCTTGCGATATGTTTCCGCAACCCAATGCAAAGTCGTGCGCAAATTTGCCAATGTAGCAGCGGTACCGTAAAAAGGGTAAAAAGAAAATCCAAAAACATCCCATGCGGAGAGCGGTACATCATTAGCGGTTAAGGCATCGAACCAGCGTTGTTGGAGCGTAACATTCCATCCATCATCAATATGGATCATAATCTGTGGTTTGTGTACCCCGACCGCAAGTGCGTCGTCGACGCCTGCACGTGCAGATTTCCACAGCGTGGCAAAGGAGGAGAAATTCTTGTGCAGAGCGCTTGGGGGTTGGATATCCACGTCTACGTAACCGAAGGGCCATAGCATGCCATGACGGATTTCATTACCCAGCGCGACGATATCGAGTTTGATACCCGCCTTTTTGAACGATACCAAGGTATCTTTTACATATGCCCTCAGGGTTTTCGCAAGAGGTTTCAACTCTGTAGGCCAGGCAGCTGGAGGAGGTTGTTTACTGGGATCAGCCCAGGAATCGGAAAAGTGGAAATCGAGATAGATTTTGTAGCCTTGTTTTTGCATGCGTTGGGCAAGTTGCAGATTGTATGCTAAGCCGTAGACGCCTTCGACGGGATCAACCCATTGACGTAGTCGTACGCTGTTCATGCCGCCGTCGCCGAGAATGGCTTCGGCGGGTCGCGTGGCGTTGTGTTTGAGAGTGTCTTTGAAGATGGAACCGCTTTGTTCGAGCATGGGGAGAGAGGATAAATCATGTCCTTTGAAGAAGTAGGAGGAATCTCTGGGGTTTTTGTGAGTTTTGATGGAAGAGGGATTGAGATTAGTGTTCGTACCTTGAATGGTTCTCTGGTCTTGCCAATGTTAATGGCAAGACTGTGATTAGAAGACCCCAGAATTTCATGATTTCTATCGTACGTATTATGTACACACAATTAAAAAACTCGGATACTTCTAAAATAAAAATCGACAGACCACAGCTCAATTTATACAAAATCATCCCCATCCCATCCGGATTAAACCCATCTCTCCATCTCTCCATCCCACAAACCCCATAACTCAACACACACAAACCAAGTACCTACCAATCGTATACCCACCCCATCAACACCCCACCCCACGGCTCAGCGCCGACACTATGCAACAAAATAAACTACTCCGTAAAGTCCAAGAAAAACATCCTCCCCCTGTTCCCCCGTCCCCGCGATCCGAAAACTCGGCAAACAGAATTTCCACCATACATGTTACTGTTTTCAAGATACGAACGGGTTATTTATCCCATCTCCACGTTCTCCGAAATTCTAGATGTAGATGTGGGGTTATTTAATCTGTATTTAATCTACGTGCATTCTGCACCCCTCATTTGGGGTTTAGCGGGCCAATGGGAAGGGTGGATGAAATGGGTGGGGATGTTTGTCCGGGGAAGCGAGGGCGCGCCGATGCAGGTCGAGGTGAGGGTTAGGGATTTGGGATGGATACTAGGGGCTTGGATCTTGGATTGGGGTTGCGAGGAGTTAGTATGGTGGTCATGTGGTATGTATTGTGAAGAAATGAAATGTGTGATTGTAAGATTACCGGTATTATAAATTGTTCGGAGATTCTTGAAAGGGAGTTGGTTGCTGTTTTGGTTTGGTGTGGCGGTCAGTAAAATTGGCGAGGCGAGGACCGAATTTTCGGGATTGTAAAAATACCTAGGTACTTGTAGTAAATAAGCGTATTCCACCCACTCTTGGTAATCTTCATTATTGATTGTCTGGTCGCTTGTGAATAAGCTGGGGAGGTCCAATGGAGATTTTTGAACATTGCGTATGTACTTCAACATATCGTGAGTGGGCTCAGGTGAGATTACTAATGTATGAAATCACCATATGCATGCGAATACACTCGAGTATTGTAATCGTGTTTTTTGAGTAAGAAGAGAGTGAGTTTCGAAAGATATAAGGTTATATTAACCTGGTATATATATCAATACCCTAGCGAACTGTCGTCTATAATTACCATGCGATATATCCCCAACGCCTCACTCACCCACAGTATTAATTATCCCACCCGCTGTTTTTGTCTAATATTCATAAGAGTATATCAATCCTTTAATAGAAATCCCCGCCCAACATACCATTCGAGCTGTCCAATAGGTTCTTATTCAATCTTATTCAAAATATTTTGAGTTTAAAACCCTCACCTGTGCACCTCCCATAGCAGCACTCGAAAACAACTTCTCCCTCTTCAACACGAAACCCAGTATTAGTACAGACACCCTTGCTGTAATAATACAAAATCTCTTTTATTTATAATCGCTTACTTAATCTCCTGTACCAGTATATCCGGAAGAATCTTCTAAATCACTCCCTAGGAACTATTTAGAAACACCGAGTTGGTAATAACAAGCGTGATAATTACACCGCAGGTTAATATATGGCTGAGACCTTCGCGCTAGGCGATGACTCTCTTCCGACAACATCAGTCCCGAAATCCGCGACTTAGCCCCCAACAGCTGTACAGTCCTCGTCTCATCAGAAAATCACTGGAATGCAGAGGCGGTTGGTTTTTCGGGATGTCATGGACATCCCGAACTGAGAGATGCGAGTGCAGACTCGGATGACATCTGTTACGCCTTGGCGCGCGCGCAATCAATGCTGCAAATCATAGGGCAGGAAGAAAGCAAGTTTGAATTGATTCCTCTCTCCGGAGAAGGGGAAAGAGCAAGTCTAAATGCGGGAGGTGAGATCCTACGCAGATCCATGTTACCTTTGAGTTTGGTGCTAATGAGATTTTAGAAATATTTCTTATCAAAATCAATAACATCGAATATTTTATATTGAAAAAACACTATTTTTGGTACAGAGTTCTTAGCTTACAAGTAATTATACAATCAAGTATATTATAAAGTTCATCAAAGTAGTAGCTATTTAGCTATGTAGTTTTAATGATTAATTTAATTTTATTAGTATGTATGATTAGTATTAAAACCTCACGAGAACAATTCGCTTTCCCTGCATAGGAACTAGTTGGCCGTTTATAAGCGTCGACTATTAGAGCTTTAAATAGAAAGTAGTAAACCAGACAGCTATTTAACACTCGTAGTCAATCACCTACGTTTCTCAGTTGTCTCAAAAAAGAAAAGTTAGATGTCTTTCTTCAGAAAAGAGTATTTTAAAAAATTCGAATTCTGAAATATAATTTTAGGAATCTCACCATCAATGCCATAAGTCGATTCGTCAAGAAAATGAAGAAAATGAATACACCAGTGCCTAGTTCTGTCCCTGCTCCTCCCACCACTAAGGATATCTAGTGGAATCAAGAAAATCTCGATTATCTCAAATGTATTGCTGAAAAAGAACTGGAAAGGGATTTTGCGGAGACTAGAACAGGGTACTTAGATATCGCTTCGACAACTTAGGGCTAAAGCAAACCATACTCTCACAGAAGTACAGCGCTCTACGCTCTGGTAACGCCACGGCAAAGATTGACGTGCGGGTGAATTCTGCAACCCTCAATCAGGGGAAATAACAGAAGGTTTCCAAACGGGCCCATGGGCTGAAGGAAATTGTGTGGGATGGTGTAAATGATGATTTTGCCCTAGCATACTACTCGTATCGCAAGGCAAAAGGATCTCGCAGTGATACAGGGGTAGACGGGGAAGTGTTCCTGAAACGCCATGATTTTACAGATACTTTGACGGGGTATACGGGCGTGGCAGCAAACTCAACGAAAGGGGAACAAAGCCAGGTGACGAAGCTAAGAGCTGGACCCCCGGGAAGTTACTTAATGGATCTTGACGATTGGGAGTTCCACCAATGGCTGTGTGACACCTCGGATCATAACCCGGGTGAAATCACAGACCTGATGAAATATCATATGCAGCGATGTGCGAATAAACCAGATGAAATTTACAAATTACGGCGACATTTTTGGGATACGACGGGACATGAAAATATAGAATGTCCATTGAAATTTACCAAGCAACCTACTCCTAAGACGAGCACAAATGTGACTAAGACGTCGAGTGATAAGAAGAGGGCATCGGATGATAAAGCACCATCGTCGAGGAACAAGCCACAAGCGTCAAGTAGCAGGACACAACCATCTAGTAGTGGAACGCCACAACGAACCGATAATCGAGATAACCGAGACCTTTATGACACTCCTCCACCAGCTCCAAAATTATCCCGCTCAAAGAAACCCAGTACAAATCCACCTGCAAAAGGATATGCATCAGGAGGATGGAGAAGCGTGAATGATCCAGAAGCAGGGCAGCGACGACGCTCACCATCTAGTTCCCGCGAGCCCGAATCACGCAGTAGCGCATCTTTTGCATTTCGACCAAGTCCTTCATCTGGTGGAGAGAGTTACAATGAGACTTCAAGATCTTCGAATAGCAGAAGAGAACCTGATCAGAGGGATCGACGACAAGATGCCGCTTTTATGTCTCGCGCCTCGGATAGCAATACTAGTAGACCAATGACGAAACGACCTGCTATGACGTCTGAGAGGAAAGATGATAGTAGGCGAACGAGAGAGGGAATTGTCGCTTTGTAAATCTAAGATACCGCGTGATTCTCGCATTTCAAATTGATGTATGAACAATGATGTCGGAATTTGTCATATGAAGCGTATTGGGCTGCACTTTAGACTGTCCTCCGCTACCACTATTGCACACACTTCCATTTACATATAGTGATCAAACAACACTTCATGGAAGTCACATTTTGAGTTGAAAAGCTGGAACAATCTAGGCTGCCCGTTCTGTATATGAGATATAACGAATTTTATTTTTTGGTTGCTAATCTGGTTACCCCTTCCTACTACATACTGACTTCTCTCGTGTGATTCAAACAAATTGTATATTGTGTCTAAAAATATCGAAACAAAATCAAGAAGCCAAATAAAAATAAATAATCAACATCCATCTTCACAACTCCATCATCCAAACTGTGATACATGAGAATCCAGGCGCAACTTTATCTTGAGGTCAAGGATCTTTCTGATCTGTCAAACCCAAAGATTTTGGAGATCCATAACAACCGCAAGTATAGAAAGTCTCGCGAATTCTCTATGAACCACTTGGAGAAGAGCAAATAAGAGCTTGACCCAACTATTCGAGTAATTAGTATCCGCACCTAGACCAAAAAGCAGGACAACTCACGATAGGAAGATCGCAGCACATGTCGATTTTTCCAACATCGGCGCAGACTTTGCTGAAAGATGCTGCGTCGGTGTATGTACCCGGTGCTATTTGGTATTAGGTTATTAGTCTGCTTCGGCTATGAGAGGTAAATACATACGAGTCTCGCAGTCTAGATCAGCTACACCAAGGACATCAGTGTCGCAGCATCGAGGATTGCCGCTGCTGCAGATAGCATCTTGTCGAGATACAAGGGTGGCAGGCATTGCGAAGGCAGATGCGAAAAGGGCAGTCATGCTGACTACGATGCTGATTCTTGAGGAATAAATGTTGATGAAGGATTTTGTATGATTGATTTGGTGGAAGTAAAAGTTATTTTCTTGAAGTTTGTTGTAATGATGAGACTGAGAATGAACTGAGAATGATTGTAGAGAGGAAACTTCGTACACTTTATAGATTTCTCTGAGCTCGTTCGTGTTGCCCTCCTGGTGGCCAACATGGCTCCGCTACACCTCAGGTCAAGTACATGATGTCAGTTCATGAATATTCTTGATATTTAGTACGAGCTGACGATAACGTAGAGCATGCTCTTTCCTATCATTAGGGGTGATATTGATAAGAATAGAAAAAGCAATGACATCCAGGGAGTTCACATGGTGATCATTGGATAACTCGATTATGTGAAGAGGAATATAAACTTGGATAGTGATTGCCTAAGACCAATCCCATAGACTACCATCGGTTCCTGACATATAATATCACCAAGTATGAGCCACTTTTCGGAATACCGGATTCAGCTTTTCAAGGATAGAGGGGCAGGAAGAGTAGCTTCAGCATCCAAAGATCAGCGACTTGCCTTATAGCTCATTGGTTAAGATGGCTCGGGCTAAATAAAATCAAGTGCACACCTAAACCACACATCTTTCAAAATTTCAACTGTTAATCAAACAATCAAATTTGGTATTTTGACTTTGACTTGAGTATTCCGAAGTGTGTGATTGATTAGGTGCTACAGTTTTACCGTATTTCAAGCATATTTGTAGTTATCATATCCTACATAGATATGTGTGTTTTCTGAGATTCTCTTTCTTGATGATATAGTGTGTACCGTGCACATGAGTTCGTTCAGCTCGGAACCGGGACGTAGCCGTTGTGGAGAATTCTTCATACTACAGCAGCTAAAGCTTCAGGGATCGGCTAGCCCCATATCTCCACTCTTGGTGCGATCATCGTGATATATCGTTGGGATTGAAGTGTCAATCGGCCAACTTTATATTGTTATACGACGTGCATCCGAACGACGAATATCGAGGCAGCTATAGCCTCGTTGACGATTGACGAATGATCATACTTCACTACTGAATTTCAATCCATTTTGCAATATAATCGTATGATAATGAGCGAGCTTCCTATATTGACCTAACATTTCATACCATAACAAATATTGAAGACCTGGCTAGGCGGAGCTCCAATGCTGTTATATCAAGGCTATTTTTGGTATGCAGATAGACAATCGGGTTTGTCAGAATAGAAACCATGCCTGCTGTCAAGCAAGAAACGATCCGAAATTAAAACTCAACCATGTGGCAAACATGCAATATCATGTTGAATTATGGTAAAGGTCCTCAAATTGCATTTTTTTGGTCGGCGTGTGGCAAAGGTCTTGCTCCGGTATTTCCAATGCAGGCCAATATAAGAGCCGTAGCGATACCCCCGATTGGTCAATTGGAGTGAGTTGAGCATTCCAAAACGGTAACTCTGTCCGAAAGATCTGCATTTTCTCCTTTCTTTCGCTTACTCAGGTACAGAATTCTTGCAAAGATTAGGATTTGTTAGTCCCAATTGAAATGGGATATGTCGTCGCGTTAAAGGTTCGTCATAAATGACAAGGTTGTATGGCCATGCTGGTAGAAACCCTCTTGATAGGTCAAATCTTTTCATTTGATCCCTTATATCCGTGTGAAAAGATATCATTTCAGAACAAGTAACGAAGACAGTTTCAAAAACGGTCGAGAAGCATTTGACGTCGACGCTAGTACTTTTGCATCTAATGGGTAGCTTGTTTAGGAAGTCATGCTTATATCACGTGCAACATGCTCTTTCCTGTGCATGCTTAATAACCATCTCGGAATCTTTTTGACAACGACTATATCCAAAAAGGAATCCTGGATCGGATTAGAAAACTTTAATAGAATACGTATTGAAGAAACTTTGGATGCTATGTCTAGATTCATAGGCGCTTCATGAACAACCTTAAACGGTGACGGCTCAACGTCACTTCATCCATTCAAGATCGTAGAAATCACAGTCAACGACAGTGTCTATTTTCTACATGACCCTTACCCAGTCCTCTATTATTTTTCGATGAGGAATTTCATCGCCATTGCCTGCAGTGAAACTGAAAATGCCTAGCTAGATTTATTACAAAACCGACGACCTTGAATGTTCTACAGTCGAATGGCATCCCTTCCTACCGCCTAACTATCATTCCGATCCCCATATCTATCCATAGCATTTCTCGCATCCGGCCGAAAAATTGACGTTTATTCTCAGCTCTCGACGTCTAGGGAAAGAATACAGAAGTTGGTGATAGGTTTGGAAATATATGCCAAGTTTTGTGCATGCACTAGAAAAGGGAAATAATAAGATACTTACGGTCCGAGGCCGTACAGGTACTTTCAAAACTCCCCTTCATACAAAACGTCGTGTACCAGCATCTGCTTCGCCACCATATCCTCATGTTTTTTCTCCTCGACTTTGCATTGCTTATTTTCCTTATCGACATCACAAAGCTCGCGCTGAATCTTTTCAACCTCGAAGAGTGTTTGTTCCTTCAGCAAGGCCTGCTCCTCTTGGCGTAGTGCTGCAATGTATTGTACATGTTTCTGTATATTTAACTGGAAGTCTTCGATTTGCTTTTGGTGCTCGCGAATGGCATTTCGAGTTTTCGTAAGTGTGTCTTTGGATTGTGTGGACTGTTGCCTGACGGGCTTGAGAAGTTGGGAGCCGGACTGCACGGTGGTATGTTAGTTAAATGCAGCTCTTTGTTACAAATAATGAAGGAAAGATGAATTTGGCGCAAAGGTTGGGTTGCATAGTTGAGTTGAGCTTACCATTTTGTTGGAATTGGGCTTCATGGTTGCTGCTTGTAAGTTCGAGTCGCACATTGTAATTCGAGGTGCACAACTTCTAAATTCTTCTAGAATCGGAGATCAGAAAAGCTTTTCATGTTGAAGGCGCATGATATGAAGGCTGAGGAAGAATTTGAGGAGGATAGGAAGAAAATAGGTTAGGAAACAAGGAAGTCATGAGTGGTTAATATTCCTATGTTGGAGATGTGAGTGGTATGTTGGAGGTGATTATTCCTTATTCAAATTCTTCTTATCTGAATGAATATTCATCTATTAATTAAGGTCCTAGTATGCATAACATACAACGCAGTGAATGATTTCCCATTGCTGTTCCCACCCATTGACCCACATTTGGCAAAAGGTCGTTTTAGCGAGGGCGGTATGTATGAAGTGAAGATATACTCCCAAGCCATTCACCACCAGACTCCATTCGCTCATTCAAAAAAATCACAATCACCATCAAAATATGCATGAGGGTCTTGAGAAATAAAACAAAAAGGTGGTTGTAACAGCATCATCCCCTGATTAAGAGACTCTTGATGATGAAGTCAGGCGCTCAGACTAATTGACGCTGGCCGAAGAGTGAGAACCATAGGCAGCCCACACCGTTAGAAACGCTTTTTTGAAGGCTTTTCGCGTACTTGAAATACATATCAGAGTAGCTTCACGCCGCTATACTAATGGATGATGATAGCACGGGAAGGAAGTTGCCGTCACTGCATCAACGTTGGAACTGGGAGAATGTTTTACGCTGATAAATTTCATTTGTGGTGATTATTTGCAAGATAAAATATCATTAAGTTACGCCGCTACGACCGTTAGCATGTTAATTCTCCTTCTTTATGGTCGTTATCGATTTTGTATCCAGCTCGCACGCGCTGTCTTCGACTCTGATGTCTGAAGCCTGATGACGCGGGAATATTAGGGGTGAGTATGAATGATCAACAGAATCATAAGCATAAAAGCTTGAGGGCAATGACTTACACTGCAAATTAAAATATCTGCTTCAAAGCCAAATTGGTTCACAGTCACTCTCAATTTCTCTTCTACCTCCTCCAAATCCTCAAGCAATCCCGCCTTCTCTACCTCAGTCCTCAATTTATTGTTCAACTCCTACTCAAATTCATCCAATTACTTTTGAATCTTCTCGAGCTTTGCCGCCTTTTCCTTACAATCGGCATTGTATTCCTCGTCATCTCGAATTCTTTCTTCGTAGTCAACTTTTTCTTGTCTTAGATTTTGGATGCGTTCTTCACACATTCGAATATCCTCTTTGTTCTCTTGGAGAACCATCAAGAAACGAATAGATTTCTCGCTCGTTGTGGTCGGTTGAGCTATTATTTTCCTTGATTAAAGCTTTGATCTGGATAAAAGGGCTCATCAGTTACTCTTCGTGTTGACATAGAACCCGGCATCGTATCGAGATAGGGGTTTTGAGACTTGAATAATCTACCTTTTTGGAAGCACTATCTCTGTTCTTTCCAGAATTTCCACTCATCTCAGAAGCGCTTCTTCTCGGTGGCATATTTGCAAGTTGGAAGATGTGGATTTTTACCTGGAAGTTGAGGATTTTTGACAAGAATTGATTGCAGGTCTAGTCAAATCTAGCTGATAGATGTACTACAATTCTGCCTCACTCAATGCTCCCTTGATGACTTCTTCCAATTCATCCTTTCCAGCCTTCAAAAGCGTCTTCGAAAACTCCTCTCCTCGGTCTTGAGCCACTCTTAGTAATTTCCTCCTTCTCGAATCCTTCAAGTTCATCTTTGGATCTTTGAGCTTTATGTTCCAACAGTCGCAGTCCTCCTCGCTGTCTCTACATCTCAGATTCAACTTTCTCGATTTCCGTTTCGAAAAACCAGAGTTCCGCCTCGTCCTCTTCAATTTCGTGTTTTTTTCCAATCGATCTCTTCTTGCGATGAATATACATCTCACGATCTTGCAGCGATAGACTCTTGACATTTGTTGAGCGCTTGTTTGACCTAAAAAAGTAACGTAGCATCAGTCACTGCATCATAATGACGTGATTATGAGGAGGAGAAAGGTTGGTCTTGCCAACCTCTTGGAAAGGATCATCCAATTCAGTCTCACAGACTGCTTGAAGAGCGGTTCGTTTACGGGACACTCTTCAGCAGGGTAGGTGCTCAAATTTGGGCTTGGAGTTGAAGAGAAGAATTGGAGGTAGGACCAGCTAATAAGTGAATTACTGCCGGAAATTTGATCAAGAGAAACACGCTAACACATATTTTTCTCTTTTTAAGATGGAGGTGAATAAAAATGAGAGCTGGTATCATGATTGAATTAACTCTCGTAATATGAGAACTTCGTTGTCATGTATATCGCTCTAATAAACACAAACTTTTCCCATGCCCCGAATTCCGTTTCCACAAAACCTGTCTTCACATCAGATCTGGATACTTAGAAGCGGAATATGATTAGTCTTGATAATGTGTAAACCCCAATACTTCATGCACTTAGAGGAACAGTAACTTACATTGCATCGCATAGCCTAGCCCTAAATCTCATTTTTGATCTTCTCCCCTTTATCGCCAGCAGTCTTCTCATTCTATCTCCCTCGCTCTCCTTCTCCAATTTATCTTCCAGAAATCTTGCCATACCCCATTGGATAAATTTCTGAAGAGCCTTTTCACGAGTCATCCCTTGCTTTTGAATAGCCAGAATGACTTCCTCTTCCCGTTTCAAGTCCACAATTTCTTGTCTATTCTTCTCGATATTGTCCTCATACTCTTTATTCGTTTGCTCGAGCTCTTGTATAGATTTTGAGAATTCTGGATGCATTTTTCCCATCTCTTGATATTGTATCTATGCAAATCAATTTCTTGCTTGTTTGTCCCGATGAGATCCTCAAACTCTTCTGTTTCACTACTGTTGAAAGCGACCTTGTCTGCATTCTCTTTAAGCATCTCTTTTATCTAAACAGAGAATAAGTAGAAAGATCTAATGACATGTACAGATGATAGAAGACGTGGAATCTAGATTACTCACTCTCTTGAATGGACCACCCGCAGCCTTTCCAGAGCTTCCCATCATTTCGGAGGCAGTTCTTTTTGGAACCATGTTGAAATTGGGAGATATTATCAAGTTGGGACTCTGTTGTAGAATAGGCTATATTGAAAATATTGAGTACTTGGGAAGAATTTCCTGCTTGAACGTTGGAGAAGTTCAAGGTTAGATATATCACGAGAAATAGATGGAGAAAGAGTGATTTTAAGTGGGTACAACCAGAGGTACGTAAATGGACGGAACTTATTTCACTTTCAGGATCGAAGCTACACTTTGTAAGATTATTGATGTGCATTCAAAGATGTCTAGTTTAGGTTTTGATTTTTCCAAGGCCATGTGTGCAGTCGTTAACTTTAACCTCCCCGCCTGCAATGTAATGACCATGATCTCCACCCGCAAGTTGAATCGCTAACCCGCACTTGATATCTTTAGTTCTGTTTGTCCTGTAGAAAGAAAAATTAGTATCGAATGCTAGAGGCGAAGATGATAACCTCATAACCAGAAGGAAAATGGTTCCACATAACATACCCTCAGGCGTTTTTTCCAGTCGCCTCTCTCTCCAGCAAACTCTTCAAATGCTTTCTTATCATCTTATCAACAGTAACACGCAACATTTCTTTCACCTCAAGAGCTTTTTGGCGCTTCTTGGCGTCCATCAATGCTTGTTCGCAGTTTGCCAACTTTTTACGGAGACTCCGCTCCAATATCTGCCTTCTTTTATGAGAAGCTCGTTGATAGTTTTCAATGGACGATCGAGCTTGCTCTTCGAGATCCTGAATGAATCTTTTAACATTTTGGAGACTTATGGCGACTTCATCGCTTTGTGCCTTGAAGATTGGTATTATGTGACGTGTTTGGACCTACAAGGGCGGGTTAGCAATGTTTTATACAGACGAAGAGGAGGCGCATTCCCTGGAGAGATCAGCGCCTATATTTACTCACAAGATTTAATGTACTAAATGCTGCAGCCAGCTCGGCGCGGCCTCTATCTTCCATGTTTGGAAATGAAGTTCGAAGTTCGAAGATAGGATTTTGGGTGGAGAATTCGAGAGGTTAACAGATTTCAAAATCTTGATGTGAGTTTTTAAAGATACAACCTTAGGTACCGAAAATATTATTTAGCGAAAGGTCACAAGTCAAAGATTCACTATAGACAGTATGGAATGAAGAGTTTTTGAGATTCTGTTATCTTTAAGAAGCTACTGCCATCCAGAAAATGACGGAAATTCACTTCTTGGTGCCAAAAAGATACCTTCAAGAATTCTTTGAAGTCTCTCCATTCTCCATCAACTGCTCAATTGGCTTCATGCATGCCTTCTCCATGCTAATAGACTCCTCTATGACCTTTTGCAGATCCTTTTCATTCTTCTCCCGACAAGCAATCATTTCAACGAGTAATCTCGCCATGGAATATATAAGGTGTTTATGTTGTCTTTGGCGTTCTTCAGGGAAGGACCTATGCAATACAATTGTAGAACGAGAATCTTCTTCTTCCAGAAGAGCACTTGCTATGAACTTTGCGAGTGTATCGATATTTTCTTGAGTCTTTCTCTGTGCCATTGGTAGGAACCAAAGTACTTCGTCCTGAGCAGATGATATAAATTAGAATCCAGGTGATCATACAGGAAAAATGATGAGGAGTGCCTGAATTTACTTACGACGGTGGGTACTTCAATAATTGAGATTGTTGATGCATGAGATGATGCCATTTTACGCTTTGCGACTGTAGATAAGATTTTGCGTGGTGTCTTTGCGAAGGTGGAGGGGTGTTGAGGGACTGATTTTGAATGCCGATCTCAGTGTGGTATTTTGAGGGTGTCAGTACTTGAGTCGTTTGATAAGTCGGTTGTTGCATGTAATACTCTCTAATTACCAGAGAAGAGAGAAGAAAATGTGCAAGAGATAATGATATATAAAAGCATACAATATTTCAATGATCTATAATTTGTGTCAAAACCTTTATGAAACAATTTCGTTGTCTTGGAGGTTAGCTCTAGAATAATAATAATAATATTAGTATTCTAATATTAGTGGAAGACTTAGTCACTTTAGTTTAAGGGATAAATCGAATATATAATATGAGAGTTGAATTGAAGTCAAATCATAAGAAAGAGCTTAATCGAGCTGAATTTGCTTGCTTTTTCTAGGTTTATATAATTTATAATGAAATTCTAGTGATTTCATACTTATAAATAAGATCGATTTAAATCAGATCTTATAGAATCATTTGTATTATAAAAAGAAAATATGATCAATCAATTTAGTCTATTTTATTAGTAATCTTATATGTAATTTTATCTCATTTTATTCCATGGTAAATCAATTTGATAAACGACATAATAATACAAATTATTGCATAATAACATAATTTTATAATATAAAATTATATTATACATAACGTGATTCATCACCGAGTAGATCATATCACCGAGTGGATCACTTTCACCTCAAATATTCACGTCTCAATTCAACACGCGTTTTATCAATCAATTATCATACAATCGAATAATAATAAAGCTCGAATACTCTTAGCCATCGAGGCTATTCGAAAAGACAAAAAACTCAGTATTCGATGATCTGCCAAGCTATATAATATACTATATACAACACTACATTATAGAATAAATAGTTTTACTCTTTATACCGAATTTTTACCAAATGGTAGTAACCTTTCGAAATTAAAAGAGGAGATTATTATTCAATATATAATTGATATGGATATAAAAGGTTTTATACTTAAATATAAGGGGGTAGAAGATATAGCGAATTATATTCTTGAATTAAGAGGAGCAAAGAGAGTTGGAAAGTAATAGGTATATTGATTTGTAAAATGTAATAAAGAGTTAAGGATACGTTTTACTCATATTTATGACTTTCAAAAAGCTTTTTACAAAAATCCTAAACTTATTGAAGATTGGTTTCAATTTATATCAAATATATAAAACAAATTTAGTATTTTCGATTGTGATTTATGGAATTTCGATGAAATAAACTTTATAATAGAAATTATAAATATTAATATAATTATTATTAGCTCTAAGAGATTTAATAGAAGTAAAGCTATATAACTAGGCAATTGAGAATGAACAACAATAATTATATATGGTAATAGTGAGAGGAACATTATACCTTCATTTCTAATAATTTAAGAACAAATGCATCTTTCCAATTAATATATGAAAATCAATCTTTCTACAGATTAAACTATTAAATCTACTTCTAATAAATAAACAAACAATAAGATAGGGTTAAAATAATTGAAACATTTTAATAAATATATAAGAAATCAAACTAAGAGTAAATATAGAATATTAATACTAAATAGGTATAAAAGTTATAAATCAATACTATTCCAGAACTATTACAAAGAGAATAATATTAAATATATATATTTATTATTACATTCAAGTTATTTAACTTAGCCTCTTAATATTAAATGTTTTAGTACTTTAAAACGAGAATATAGTATTTAAATTAAAGGGTTTATAAAAGTATATATTAATTATATCTCAAAAGTCGAATTCTTTATAACTTTCAAAACTATATATCAATGGTTAATCACAAATCAGAATATGAAAGCTGAGTTTCAAAAAGTAGGATTAGTTCCATTTGATCCTAAAACAATGCTTTCTAAATTAGATATTCGAATTCATATACCTACTCACTCCCCTTTCAATTTAGATCTTTGGGTCTTTCAAACTCCTTATAATCCTACAAAAGCTCTTTCTCAATCAATATTAATTAAATCTTAAATAACTTATTATCAATCAAATTCTTTTATATCTTTATTTGAAACTATACTAATTCTAACTAAGAATACAAAGAGATTAGCATATAAGAATACACTTTTAAGTATAGAAAACCATACACTTTGAAAAGCTAATAAAACATTAAACCAATATCAATATACAAAAAAGATACAAATACGTTAAGGAGAAGTACTTATTGAATAAAAAGCTATGGATATATTATCTTAACAAAAAGTTGATATTCAGATTCAACACAATAAGCATCAAAATAAAGGGAATTCTAATAGAGAAGCATCTTCTAGTCGATATTGTAGTAATTATAGAAAAACAGGTTATAATATAAGAACCTGTCAAATTGATATAATAAATCCTAAATTATTAGATTCTTAATAGTTTTAATTAATTGAATCAATGGTTGTTGAATAATATGAATTTGAATATATCAATTGAGGTGAAAGTGATCCACTTAGTGATATGATCCACTCGGTGATGAATCACGTTATATTAATCATCAACATATCTCTCAATTGATAAGATATTAATAAGTGATTTAGTATACTTATTATAGAATCTCACACGTTATAAGGTCTAGAATATATAGAAATCAAGAATTTACTCGAACAAATGTAGAGTCATTGTAATTATTGTACTCTTCCTAGCACAAAAGATAGTCTAAATCCACCCCTCCAACTTCCAAATCAATCCTAAGACTCCGTAAAAGGGCCCCAAAAAGTTCATCTGCACTCTCTATCCCAGGTAATGGAATAAGCTTTGAGACCCAATTTTGACTTACTGGTAATTAATCTCATGGAAAGGGACATCTTCCAAGAAGCTATGAAGATCTATGAATGAGTTTCAATCCTTCAATTCTCCATCCTAGCCTATCCACACCCTAGACGACATTCCTCTTAACAGCCAAACCTCCTGTTGCTTCCCACTTCACTACCCACTTCATCACCCTTCATACCTTACAAACCATGAATTCCTTTCAAACATCACTCCTACTTCGAGTGTGAAGAACCATTCAAGCTAATCTCCGCCTACTTGCTAGTACTAGCCTAAAATAAGCGATCTCTTGGCGCTTCAAGCCTACCCAGGTGACGATTGAGGAAGACGATAGGAAATTACTGATGTAGATTTGTCTTCAAGGGAACTCGAAAGCTCGGCTTGAAAGCTAAATACGAGTGCTAGCAGTAGTATTCCTTTTGAGAATATGGGGAGCAGGAGTGTTAGTATTTCCATTAGGAAATGATAGTTTAGGTGACAACATTGATTTCTCCACCATACGTTATTCGTTGTAAGTGAACTAGACAGAAACTACTCTCCATAATCACAAGCGCGATATTCTAGTTCATTTTCCGTAGATTTATATACCATACCTCGTTCGCGTGAAATGCGAGCTCCTCCTCTGTGTTCTGTGGTCTCCCTATCCTCTAATCATCATTCCTTTCCCTTGTACTCAGAATCGACCAATAATCCTACACATTGCAATCCGACGCAGCAGCTATTAAAATATCATCATGCGTCCCATAAATCGAGAGCCACCCTCTCAAGATACTTGACACTCACTAGCGTTCCTTAAGCGATACATCTGGTTCTATAAGTCGAGATTGATGTTGATTCTACTCAAGCGGGCTCTAGTTTTCTCAAAGGTCTCGACGAACGATCATACAAATAAATCTCATACAAACAAAGAAAACAGATCTCTGATTTATTGGGAAAATCTAGTTGGACTGATAATTGGTAGACATTCACCTGATAAGTTTCTGAGATCTAAGTGGCACGTGCTAGAAGATCCGACTGCGTTTTGTTGCATGTCTGCTACAGGCTGTTGGAGCCCATAAGCCCTTGTAACTTTTAGGAAGTGGCAGGAAAGATTTTCCTAGGAACTCTTCTCCTTTTTTCCCTCCCACGTCATATCACATCCCGGGATTCCCATTTCCCCTGCCACTTGCCTGCCATTTGCCATCCTATCTACGCACATGTTTATCACAACTGCATTTTCAGAAAGAAAGCTGTTCTTCATGTAAAATGAGGACATGTTGAGGGAAAATTGTTTAATCTTGCCAGACCTATCTAGCACCACTAACTTGATCCTAGCCCAAGCCCCAAGCCATATTTTGTTTCGCAGCCTCATCGGACTTCCAGCCTTCTCTCCAGAACTTCTGTAGATCCCATCATATTGTAATATTGCCTCCTCAACAACACTTGGCAGATTCTCAAGAGCTAAACGTGCTCTCTCAATTGCCCTTCTTTAGAGACAACGACGGACCTTTTCTTTTCTCCATATCCGAAGTTGTTCCTCGTCTTGTTCAAATTCCTCATCCTGTAGAAGGGGCCAATGATTAGTCCCGAATGAGAAAATTGAAAGAACAGTGATCAAAACTTACCTATTCTGTTAGCTGAAGCTCCTGCTCGTGGAAATTAGGATCCATTTTCGAAATGGGGAGTCGATTTGTCGGTTTAAAGTTGCAGATGATTTCTGGCTGTAGAAAACTCGCATTCGTATTCGGAAAGGTAGATATCAAGAAAGAGCGACGGATCCTGTAAGAGAAGCAAGAGCTTTAAACGGCGATTGAACGGGCAACGATCGACCGTATTGTGGGGACATTCAAGCCAATCCACACCTTTTAGACCATACCACATCATTCTCTAGCTTCTCTGATGAGATTGCGCAAGTTCTCCAGAGCTCTCATTGCCGAAATCAAGGCCAGTTCTCTCTCTATCTCTGCGACTCTTCGAACAATCTCGCGCGCCATTTCTTGAATCTGTCTCGTAAGTTCGATGAATGACTCATCAGGCGTTTCAGTTCTTGAGTCTTGAAGATCTCGGACAGCTTGATTCTGAGGAGGATGTGTTAGGGTTACTTGTGATGCGAGGGAAGAGAACAAATGATGAGGCTGAAACTTACAAGTCTCGTTAATTGATCATTTAGCCTAGTAGTGTTGGGATTAGCCATATTACATGGGAATCAGTTCGATTAAATTGAAAACAGTGTGCGTAAACTTTGGATTGTAAAAGTTTGGACTTAATTACTGTTGAATATGAATAAGGATTTGATGAGGTTGAATGGCTTTCGAGAAATTGTGGGGTACAAATATCATCCAGAGAGTAGGAAGTTTGACGTCACGTTATGTGTTGAGTTTGTTTCCAGAGAAAGTCATTGAGGCAGATGAGATATCGCCTATCATGGATCAGAGTACACACGAAGTTCCTCGAATATCAAATCCGTCATCCCAAAGCCAGATAATTGCTAGCTCAACGTATGTTGTGTCCCATATTCCGTATATCCTTTCCCGCGACAAACGTCTCGAATTTTAATACCCTCGTTCTGAGTTTAGATTGGTTCTATTGAAGCACAATGTCAGTGATAATTACGTATCTTCATTCCTCGCAGGAGTGTGACAGAGCAAGTCGAACAAAATATGAGATATCTTACCTTCCAAGCAGGCCCAAGCAGCTTGATGAAGCAAATGCGCCTTTCTCTCCTCATCACTTATTCCCTCCGCACACAAACACCACGCTAAGTAATACTTGTAATAAGCCAGTTGACCGTTCGAAAATTGAATTATCCTTCTGCAAGTTCTAACCGTATAGTCTTCTTCTTGAGTGATGACACGGGAGGCTAGGATTTGTTCGACTTGAAGTGTATTTTCTTCAATTTCATTTATGGAGCTGTTGATTCTGACTAGTATCTGGGAGAGGGATAGGGTCAGAATGGCTTTACGTCGATCTGGGAGGGTATTCTAGTGTGAGCCAACTTAACATCCATGATTTCGTACTTATTCTTCTCGATTCTGGATGGCATCTTGAGATTGTTGTAGTGGGTTGCGTTGAAGGGAAGTTGTATCTTGATGTGAGAGGTTTGATACAGATAGAGGTGTGATCTTGGACTTGAGGTGAGAAGGTGAAGTATCTGGGCCGCTTCAAGACTTGGAGGATCTATAGCTCGCTAAATTAAATATTCCACTAATCAATGATACGAGCAACATGTACAAATCTAGAGACCGATCTCAATAGAAGACGGGAAAGTGCTCGATACTTCATTTCATTCTTTAGAGCCACCTCCCCAAGCGCAATTATCAGTATTGTGACCCACGGCCCTTAAGATCTATTCAAAATGCTCACATGAGGTTGACACTGACACGCATCTCAACATAACCCATCATGTCTCCCCAGTCTGCTCTTTCTCAGGATCAAGTCTGGAGTACTCCAAGAGAACCTTATCTACTTCCTCCAATCGAGCAACACATTCCAAATCCACCTCATTAAAATATTCGACCTACTCCTCCAGCCTGCCAAGACGATTCTTCCAAGATTTCAGAAGGGGCGATATATCGAAATTTTTGCCAGAAAGTTCCCGTCATCTCCGCTTCGATTTTTGCTATTTTGAGAGTTTCGATCTCCCGTTTGTGCTCTTGTATCTCTTGTTGAAACCTAGCGAGAAGGAGGGCAAACTCGTTGCGCATCTGGACACATTTGGAGCGGTGGTTTTTCTATCGATATCTTGTTAGTTTAGGAGAAACGAAAAGGTTCATGTTTTGACTCACCGCTTCTTGAAGGAATGGTGGAGGCATAATTGATGCTGGTACCGGATCAAAGTTTGTTGTGTAGAAGTTTGATGAAGTTGCCAATAGCTTCGGGACTTGGATTGAATGGGGGTTGTGTGTTTATAGATCTGTGATCAATGGTTTCTCTACAATAAGGAAGTGGGCCAATAAAGACTCAATACTAAAGATCGGACCCAATCATCTAGGTAGATTTTCATGAATGTTGAGATGATTTACAATTCACCGTTTGTCCACAAAGATATATCGGCGCTACATTTAACCTCTCTGTAATTTAGCTCCTCTCTGCAATCCTAGGATGAGTATGGCCATCGATAACTTTTGCTATAGTTTTCATGGGCTTCATGAATTCTAGAAACTCTTTCCCTAGATCTCCCATAAAATCACATCGAAAACGTAGGTCTGCGCTCTATGTCCTCCCCTGATCCCCGTATCCAGTCCTTGTATTTTATCGACTCCATTCTATGACCCGACGATACTATATTCCATCACTTGAACACAGATATATCAGCAATTATCTTTACACCCAGCTCATAGTAATGTATGGAGACGACCAGAAGCTCACCAGTCGAAAGGCAACAGGTCTACTTACATAAATCACGACACATCTACCTGCCCATCCTTGTTTTCATCAATAGTCATATCTGCATCTCCATCTCCAGTTCCATCTCTCTCTCCATCTCCATCACCAGGATCAGCCAAACCACAACAGTCCTTATGCTCAGCCCCCGTCTCCTGTAACTTCTTTGTGATATTCTTCAGCCGCTCCTGAATCCCCTCCAACTCTGCGATGTGCTCTTCATTCTTTTTCTTATGCTGCTGAAGCTCCTCCTGTGTTACATTGATTTGTTTGTTTAATTTAAGAGCGTTCTGATCGAAGTCCGCGCAGGATTTTTTTCTTCATAGAAATTGTCAGTGAGATTTCAAGCGAGCGTGAAAGACACAGGATCGATATTAAAATCAAACTTACGAAGCCATCTTCAAGCTCTAGCGATTTGGACATGTTTGTTGGTCCGCAAAATTAAGACTGGTTTGAGTCGTGGAATTGTCCCTTGGGTGGTTTCTGTGTATTTGTAATTCGAAAACTTCCTGAATCTCAATGTGGTGAGAAAGTGAAGTAAATAGGTACTGATTGAGTGGAGAGAATCATTCATTCATACAAGCCATAGAAAAAACATTATTGCTCAGAATATTTAGCATAATAGTATGAATCTGACAATGATATCCGCAAAGAACATCAGAGGATAAAGCAAACTTTGACGCCTTTTGTATACGTCTGAAGCTCCTATTCTTCCATATTTCTGCAAATCTTTTTCCAACATATTATACTGCCTACTACTACCACATGCTTCCATCTAGACTCCAAAGCCAAGAGCATATTAGAAGACATTGATCCATCATTGTTAGCTTCTTTTCTATAAAGAGACAAGACGTTAGTACAACTAGAATATGAGACCACTCAGCGCTTTGTATCCTTTTCGGACAGCAAAGAGATTGATGTGGCGTACCTGGTTTCTGATCCTTGTCCAGTAATTTGGTACGCGAAATTCGTGCTCTTTGCTGCATCGAACCAGTGCAAACGAATTCAGGTCCTCGTGTCTAGTCCACTCGAGGTTCCATTTTCTATCAAGACGTCCAAAATCAGTATGTGGTCAGAGTATTATTGAAGATGGAGTGCGCGAGTTGACTTGAGTTTGAGGCATCAAATCCTTAGATATTGGGGAGAACATACGATTCGAGGCTCATTCCCGCCGCCAACATCATCACTAGCTTGAGTTTCTGAGCCTAATAACTCCGCCAGAATAATCTTCTTGACTTTATGAAGCAAGTTTGCCTCGTACAACGCAAGCTTCTGGCTCAATTCATACTCCTGGTTCTCCATGAAAATGGACTTATATAAGGCTAACTTCTCGTCCAACTCGCGCTTGATCATTGATTTTAGTGTTTTGGGAATTGGAGGCCTCTCTGAAAGAAGTGATATCCTTGAGAACTCTCTTTTGAAGAAATTCGCGAAGATTTTTTATCAGATGATCGTGATGCTTGATCGTGATCATATCAGCCTCTCTGGATGTTCTGAGGTCTATGATCTCCGTCTGAAGAGTTTTAATCTCTATGACTTGACTCTCAAGTTGGTGTTCCCGATTCTGCAAGCGGATTTCTAGACTTTGTATTCTGCTTGCTTGAGATGCAAACTTATTTTCCTGCTCCGTTCGTCTTGCTCTAGCTCCATTATTGGCCAATTCGAGATTTTTGATGCGATTGAAAAGTGCGGGCTACAAGGCAAGTTGATCCATTAGTCAGTTTTGTTCGCTGCCAAAAATATAAGCAGATAAGAATCTCAACAGGAAACATACCGAAACATGTTGTTGATGGATCACAGTGACAGAATTTCCAGGTGCTAGAGTAGCACCGAGAATTCCAACTCTCTCGAGTTCCTGCTGAGCATTCATTATGGCGGTGGCAGATCTAAAAAGGATTAGGGGGCTAAGTTCAAGTGCTGGATGATTTGGGATACGCTCTCATCTGTGTACTTGAGGATATTGACAGATGAGAAAAACGAGTTGATGGATAGAAGACTTACATTGTCTGTACAACTGAAGACCTAGGGTGTGAGTAGTGGGGCTCAAAGGCTGATTTGGTTGGAAAGACGTATTTCGTTGTGCAAAAGATGAAGATAATTGAGACGAGGAGATGAAATTTTGATGATTGCAGACGCAATTAAACACAAATCCACAGGGCACCTTTTTTGCTTTTTGGAAGGTTTTGAAGTAAGAATTACTCCACTTCCGCATCAATTGGAAGGATCATATAGATAGCTTGCTTCTGAGTGAGAGCTCTTGCTTGTGTTGTCATTGTTGCGTATCCGCTGCGATTTCAAAAGGGAAGGAACGAGTGTGTCCACCCTGCCACCAAAAATGACTTCAAGATATCTTTGCCAAGTACTCAAACATTAGTACTTCACTCCAGCCAAGATAGTTACTGATTATGAAGCAAGCATCTCTTCTCTTATATCACCAAAAAAATTCCACATCAATTTTTCCAGAAATAAACGTATTGCCTGCCTTGCGTTCTCATCACAACACAGACGTGAAGCAGTGAGGCGTTTCTCGAATTCAATTTAAAAAGATTCAGTCATCACAGCCCCACCAACGAAATCTCATAGTTCCCAAACTTCCTTTTCTAAATCCATCTTCATAATGAACCGAATCTTCAGTTCTGTCATACACCAAATCAAATTCCTTGAGGGCTCTTGTAAATTGAATACCACCTGAAATAGGATCATCTTTGCCTATCTAGCCTTGTTCGTTGTCTACCATTGCCGCTTTCAAGCGTCCCGGCCATGTTTGCTGTGGCCAAGGTTGTTCACTATTCAACGTATTACTTGAACTGTTCAAACCATGTTCAAGACCTGGCCAGTCAAAATTCCAAATCGCTTTCATGTGTATATTTTTTCCTTCTTTCTGGAGCGATTGACCTTGGTATCTCGTCAAGGAAGTTGTATCGTGGAGTGTGACGTTTATGTTTCCGCCGTAAACTACATGATTTGCGATACTTCGCAGGGCTTTTTGGAGGCTCGTGCGATCGATATCCAAGGTATCTTTCTCCACAGTCATTCTTATGGTATTAGTATATATGCAGCTCTGAGAGAACGCTATGGTGGACCAATGAGCATACCCCTTGCAATATCCTTTTTTTGCCAGGTCGACAATCGCTTGGCATGATCTTTGTATCACCTCTTGGTCCAAGACACTCAAGTTTTGGTTCATCTTGTCCATCGAAATCACTTCTAAGTCGTCCCCGTCGTCACTTCTCATCTCTATTCGAAGAAGTCGTGCATTACAGCCTTTGATCTTCACTACGAAGTCAATTACTTGCTCACGTTGCGAAGTTTCTGTGTTCACGATGCTATGAGGACCTTGTATCATCATCCATGGCTGGGGACCTTCTCGAAGTTTCAAATGCAGAACTCTAGATGAGCACTCCAAACAGTTCTTGTTGATATCTAAAGTGACATTCTCGGCAAGAGTAGATAGGTCTGAAGCTATGCTTTTAGATGTGTCTTTAAACTCAATTGCAAATAACTCATGGTAGCAGCTCCGAAGCGATTAACCTACCTTTGAAATCCACCAGACTTGGAGCTTTCTCCTATGAATTATAAGATACGACTTCGCCACAAGATAATATTCGGAATGATGCTTCCGTATATGTGTATGTGACTGACATTTCTTAAGTGATATCTTAGATTCGATGATGATGATGATGACGTCATCTGACATGAATAAGTATTGTCAACAGTCTTATTATAAAACAAAAGACTGAGAATGATTGACGAGGCTTCGTGATTCTTTTCTTTAGCAATGAAGTATATAGGTCTCAGTGCCATCGCAGAGTATCTCTAGCATCGACGATGTTTTGAATCACGATCAAGATTTTGACAGTGACATCAAGCCCGCCTATGACCTTTCAAGATTAGACAGAGAGTTCCAATCAATCGCCAGCAAAAATGGCATCGCAATCTCCAAAAGAATTTCAAGTACTGCGTTGAGAGGTCATAGCTTATTTTCAGGAACAAAAACTTCTTGTCAACATCTTCGTAGCTCAGCGAAACTCCGCGAGCAGTGTCTTCAGGTCATTCAACCCAGCTAGCCTCGCTACCAGAGTCCGCAGGAGCTCCTGGTCACATTTTCCACCCGTAATATGCACAGGACAATCAGCATAATTCGTTATGTCTTAGGCTATATGACTCAATTGGTACTATTCTCAGTGTTCACTCCAAAGACGCGGTCGAGATCAGCTATATCTATCGCACCACTAGCTTAGAGGCTGATTTCGATGGCTCCATACTAGCGATCAAGAGATCCCCCAAAAAGTTACGACACCGTTAATTCGTTTGAGAATCTGGCATATAGTCTAGCTAATAATAGCCAACTAAAGGGAAAAAATGTCACATAGGCACTCCAAGAATCACCCGACCTCATTCAATTCTGCCAAAATAGTGTTGTCCGTTTCCACACCATGCCTCTTCATTCCAACTTCAACAATGCGAGCTCTTTCTGCTGTCGAGTCTTTCGTAAACGTGAACGTTCGGACTTCACAATTGTTGTAACCAGTACCTATTGGTTGGTTATAAGACAAACTTCCAGGGAGGGAGGATATCTTGACGAGAAAATACCTTTCTTCGGATCACTGACTGTCCCGTCCTCAGTCAAGTAATAAAGGAACCCTCCATGTGCCACTAGAATGATATACTGTGCTTCAAGCCCATAGAGCCATGCTCGAAGAGCAGCAGCCCGTGTTTCGACGGCTCCATGATTAGGTGCATAGAAATCTTTCTGGAAAATAACACTTGATCAGTTACAGGAGCAACTTTCCGGATGCTTAGAATCCCTTTTGATACCACCTGAGATTTCGGCTCTCCAAAAGCAGCCAAAGCATCACACAAACCTTCGAATTCCATTCATCCTCCATTAAATCGAAGTCAATCTTCTCCGCACCAAAGGCTAATCCCTCATCCTATCACAGTTTGGGAATTTCTACGTTCTTCAATATGTCCAGTGAGAACCCTATATCACAAGGTTTGGCAATAACTTCCTGAGCATTAGGCACTAGAAGATAAGGAACCTCAGGTCGGGCAAGTGTATTGCTAAATGAAAAAAGAGTGGTTTCAATGGCACGGCGATGGGGTGATGAGAGAATTAGGTCAATCTTATTATGATGCGGGAATGGTTTGCGGAGGTTCTGACATTCTGTACGACCTCTAGGAGTTAAAATTGGATCTGGAATGTGGAATCGACTCTGTGATGGGGATCAGTAGAGGAATGAAGTATGTACGGAGGGGTAAAACGAAACTTGACATTGTGTTCGGCCTCGGCGTGTCGAATAAGATAAAGAGTTGGAGGCATTTTGCGGATAGTGAATCGTTCTAGGTCGTGTTAAGATAGAAATTGATGCTGTAAGTAGGAAGTAAGAATAATCTGGGGAATAGTAGATCATGAACAAAGAAACCTGTCCAGAGCGCACTGTTCACTTCAACTGCCTTTGGTTGACTACCTTTGAACCCTATCTACCTTGTAAACTTCAATACAATATTTGACTCGTTACTTGAAAGTTTTAAATGATCGGGGTTCACTGCCAGCTTTTATATATCCGTATACATTCGCCCATTTGTGGTTGAACCCGAACTTTTGATAACGTCATGCACGATACAGCTTTGCTTGAAGGCTTACCACAAGCATTTATCCAGAGATATCAACTCACAGGCAATCAATCTGGTGATAGATTCAAACACATCCATGGAGTCCAAGGAGTTGATATGTTCGAAAGAGGTTACATGCGACGTTGATGTGAGCAAACGATGGTGGAAGATGCATGCACGGACCGCTTTAATCTCACCACTCTATTTTTTCCTCATGATGATAATATCCTTCCTTGGCGAGGAAAACTATCATTCCATGAATAAGGTGGATATTTGTCGACTGCATGTGTACCCCGGATGTCTTTCTTCTAGATATCAGACTGAAATCCAATCCTACACCTACTAGAGTTATTCCATTCGTCTAGTTTCTACACGCGACACGCGATACGAGATGAAATGACTAAGGAACCTATGCGAGGTATACATCTCCTATTCCAGCAAGCACTCCTGTCACACTATCAAAATGGCCGATCAATCCACCAAGATCTGTATCCGAAAGCTTGTATCCAATTCTTTCCATCAATTAATAAGGTTAAGGACCTGCATAAATTGGAACGTCTCCTTCCCACAAATCTTACCAAGTAGTTGGTCGGACCTCTCTTTGTGTCCCCTGTCAATATGACGTTATGCACATTAGACAGCGTTGGCACCAAGATTTTACAAACATATGAGCCGCGTCGGTGGGCTTGGAACGCGTGTTGGAGAGAGAGGTAATGTATTATAAGATAAGTTGAATGTCTCTCATATTTTGTAGCAATCCCTCTAATTACTATCCGTTTCTTCCCTTACTGTCTCGACAATTCAAAAGCATCAGGAAAATCATGGGAGGTTCAGATTCGGCAACCGAAGGAATTCTTCCTGTTTTTCTAGGAGCTCTTCAAGCTTCATTAACAGTCCTCTTAACAATAAGCTATGGAGTTATTACATCGAGGTTTAATTTGTTGAAGGAGTCTTCCACAAGAGATATTTCGAAAACGGCTGTTAGGTTGTTTCTACCTGCGCTTTTAATCACAAATGTTGGAGAGGAATTGAAAGCGGATACTGCATATAGATATGTACCTGTTTTGCGTGAGTTTTGTCCGATTGTCTGTGTATGTATAAAGCTAACAATTGTCAAGTATGGGCACTGATATATACTTTATCATCAATGGCATTAGGAATGCTTCTTAAGAGAGCTTTCAAATTTCCCGCTTGGTGTGTACCAGCCAGTAAGCTCTCATTCTCTTCCCTATCCCTCAAGCTCAAGCCTCTAACAATCTCTCAGTATGCTTCAACAACACCACCGCGCTCCCCCTCCTCTTAATCCAAGCCCTCGACACAGCGGGTATCCTCACCAACCTAACCATGTCCGAATCCGACACCCCCTCCGCAACCCTCAGCCGCGCAAAATCCTATTTCCTCGTCTCTTCCATGGTAGGAAATAGTCTTACCTTCGCGCTCGGCCCCAAACTTCTAGATGACGAAGAAGCCCCCGACAAGCCCGACGAAGATTCAAAACCAAGCCACACACACAGTCCCACTGAAAGCGACGAAGAATATGCGCATCCCACCAACTCCGCCGGACGAACCGCAGAAGAAGAAGAAGAATACTCAAACGAAACATCCACTCTTCTTCCACGCAGTATTGCCCGAAGTAGAACTACTGCCGCCAAAAAATCAAAGCAAGAATGGAAGAAAATCCCTCTCAAGATCCGAAATGTGATATCAACTCTCTATAGTTTCATCAACGCCCCGCTCCTGGGCGCTCTCCTCGGTGCCCTCCTAGGTCTCACCCCCCCTCTCCACCGCATCTTTTTCGCCTCCCCTTCATCCGGCGGTATCTTCAAAGCCTGGCTCACCACCTCCCTCAAAAATATCGGCGAGCTATTCGCCGCCCTCCAACTCGTCGTCGTCGGCGCCAAACTTTCCTCTTCCCTCTTACGCATGAAAAAGGGTGAATCGAGCGGCAAAGTCCCCTCACTCGTCGTTCTCACCATCTGTTTCATCCGCTTTATCCTATGGCCCATCGTCAGCATCGGAGTTATCTATCTCATTGCTTCTCACACCGGATGGTTGGATAACGATCCCATATTATGGTTTGTGTTGATGTTGATGCCGACGGGACCACCGGCTACGAAACTCACAGCGCTGGCGGATGTGAGTGGTGCGGATGAGGAGGAGAAGATGGCGATTGCGAAGTTTGTGACGGTGGCGTATGCTGTTAGTCCGTTGATTTGCTTTGCGGTCGTGGGGAGCTTGAAGGCGTCTTTGGCGCTCAAGGGGTGAGAAGCGAGGGAAACAATAGTGGGTGGTTTTCGTGGGGGTTAAGATTAGATGGGGAGGTGATATAGAATGCGAGATGGAGTTACTTGGGGTACATAGTGGGTATTGTAATATATTGGATATACCTTGAGGTTTTTCAAATAGACATAGAATTGAATAGAGCGTGTCAAAGCTGTCCACACCTCTAGCCGAATAAAACTGAATGGACACGCAAATGTTCTCAACAACTGAGAGTTTTAGCAATGCAGTAGTCAGCGAAAAGGAATCACAGAGCCCTCCTAGCCAAATCTGAATATAATCTTATATTCTGAATTGGGTTAGTGACGATTCAGATACTGATACGGAGGCTCAAGTTCAGGACTCCCCCAAGACACCTAAAACCAAAGTTCTCATCCTTCATCATTCCCTCGCAACATGGATGTACCATGATTCGATGTTGAAGGTGCATGTAAATTTGGTCCTAGCTATTCTTATACAAAAATCAATACCTTAATTCTTCTCCATTTACATCTCCTATTCGACCTCGTTTGTATTGGTGGCTTGAGAAATCCTCAGACGGTGCTCGACATTCACATCCATATTGCATTAAATATCACCTGCCAAACTACATTGAATAATCAAAATAACGTATTTTGTTATGCAACATTATATTGAGTACATTGGATACCAAGGTAAAGCATCCAGGTATCTATAGACTATGGATCACTTTTTAACACAAACGCCGAGACTCCTACAATGCACTCGTTCTATACAGCCATACCCCTATCTGTCTTAAAATTTCCCTTCCCCATTTTCATCCACCTGTCTCCATGTCACATGCTCAGATCATGTTCAAGATCAGATTCGAGCCCATATTACCCACCATCTTCTCCTTTCCGCCCTTTGCCTTCTTCGCAGCACCCTTTCCACTGGCCTTCTTGTCCTTCTCCTTTGCCTCAATCTCTTCTCTCTTGCTCTTCTGTTCCGCCGTCTCTTCCTTTGCCGCTTTCTCCAACTTCTTTTTATTCTTAATCAAAACTTTCTTAACTTCGTCTTTCTTTCCAAAAGATTCAGATTCTAATAATGCAACTATCACGAAAGAACTAGATCCAGTTGCCCATTCAACAATAAATTCCTTAATATGGGGATACAAGATATCCGCAAAGTTCAATGCTGGTTCGGTTGGCACGACGGACTTGGTAGCTGGGTCGTAACGACCGCCTGCAATAAGAGCTTTAATCATCTTTCCACCGTATGGTGTGCTTGCGATGTGGGAAGGAGGTTCTGTACTCATGGCACCTTCCTCGACAGGAGGTTGAATATATGTTGGGTCTCCGGATACAGCTTCGGCGAGTGCTTCAAGAGCTGCTGATTTATCTCCTTCGGCGCCGAAGAGAACCTCAGTTACGAATTGACAACCGAAAGATGTGGCGATAAGTTCTCTAGCTGCAGAGGCGATAGCCTTGAGGAGGTAGGGGGAGAGGGACTTGACTAGTTCTTGGCGACGAATTTCTGGGTCCTTTTTAGAGGTAGTACTTTTGATTGTGTCAACTTCAGTGAGAATTTCGAGATCGGAGTTGTGGCTTGCTGGGAATAAAGATTTTGAGCGACCTTGGAAAAGATAGAGAAGTGTAGTGCGGGCGTTGAGATCGTTGGCGGAGAATGCAATGTTCTCGACTTGCTTCTCTTCATCCTTGCTAAGCAATTCTGGGAAAATAGACTTCGCAGTCAAGACGGTATCATCAATGACTTCGTATGCGGTGAGGATAATAATGTGACCATTTGGATCTCCTGCCATCAGTTGTAATGTATCCTTGTACATCTTAAGGATATGTTTACGGTCCTTGGCACCTCCATATGCTAAAGCAAGACAAACGACTCTTGCTCCAGACTTAGTGAAAGCCAAATTCTTCATTAAATCGCCTTCCTCGTCTCCCTTCAATAACTCGATAAAGTCGGTAATCTCCTCAGTTCCTGGCTTAGCATTGAGGAAATATTGCAACATAGCATCGTGAAGAAGAGTGAAACCGTTAGTCTTCTTCTGTAAGAGATGGTTGATCATTTCTTGTAGATATCGCATGATAGGTGCTCGCTTTCCAGGCTCAGCAGCCAAAATCTCGGCGAGCTCCCCAGTCAAGAACGTAGAGGTATCTCTCTCCATAACGGCGAATTCAGCGCCATACCATTCTCGAAGAATAATAGCTCTCTGTTGCTTGGTAGCGACTCCACGGTAGATATCATCGAGAATCCATCCAGCTTCAGGGTGCTTGATAAGTCGACGAACATGTCCATAAAACTCAGGAACAATAAGGTCTCTAATTTCATCATCTCCCTGGACCAACAGTTTTCCGATCAAGAACTTTGCGTATCTACTCTCGGCTAATTGACGATATGTTCCAGCAAGCTCCTTTGCGATCAATCTTTTTTGCTCTGGGTTGGAATATTTGATTGCGGTTTGAACAACTC